AAATAAAATCTTAAAAAGAATTCTTGCATAAACAAATGAGAAATTATATCTAAAACATTTAAACAGTTCATGGATTATAGGAAGTTCTCAACAAATAGTTATTTTGATATTAGCCTATGATCTTGAGATACAGCAAAACAGTTTGCATTTGTCATCAAGTGTCTGCAGTAATGCCAAAGGATAGGAAAGTAAATTTGAAGATTTCAACTCAACCTTCCACTGATTTCACCATCATCTGTTTACAAAGATCCAGGCTTCTATTTCCACTTCAATTCCTATAGTTTCTCATGTATTAGGCACTGGGGTCAGCACTGAGGAGGCTAAAAAGGAGGATCTGATTCAAAGCTTTGTTATTTTGGCTTCTTTTTGTGGGAATGTGTGCTGCTATACTTCCATTTGTGAAGTGAAGGTAGATTATTTAGTCCAGAGTCCTTTTCACAGCAATAAATGTGTGTATTTTCTATCAATGTCCTGCTCTTCACTGCTACCTCACACAATCACAGGAAATTTTCATGATGGGTAGCTAACACTTTTACTCAGCTCAGCTTCTCCATCTAGTGGCCTGAGTAAAAGTGCCCCTTGAAGGTTAGAAGTGATCCCTAGCAGTGGCATATTGATTTCCAACCCTCACCCCTGAGGCATTGACCCTTTGGCTTTGCTCAACATTGGAACTAAGTAAGCCACCCATGGGACAGTCTCCAGACTGTTTGCTCAAACTGTTCCACCCAGAGTCTGGGATATCTTAATTCATACTGATGAGGAGTCAGCAATAGTCCTACTCACTGGCTAAATGTCCTTGGCCATTTTGTTTTCTCCATAATACTGAAAAATTATGGTTCCCTTCTGCTGCCCTCTAGGCAGGGTGAAAGGCACAGATGCCATTGAGGAGAGGGACTTTTAGATTGAATTGAAATTTTTTTTTCATTTTTTTCCTGAAGATAATGGGGAAGAGAAAGGTTAGTTATAACAATGTGTCAAGACTACTTCATTTTCTCTCTCTCTCTCTTTCTCTCTCTCTCTCTCTCTCTCACTCACACACACACACACACACACCACTTTCTTCATACACAGAATGGCAGACCATTGACTGTTACCCCAGATTTCTTACACACAGAAAAGAATGCGTTAGATAACTTGGAAGACATTCCCTAAAATGTATTGCAGTTGGTCAGCCTGGAAAAGAAAGTGGTTTTGACAGAGAAGAATGGGAGAAACAGATTAGTGCAGCCCTAGATTTCTTAGACCTGCATTCAGTGGACACCCCTAATTTTCAATATATGCTTTGTTAAGAATTTTCTTTCTTACTTCACTGCTTCACTTAATTCGCTGAGGAAAGGGTTTCCTGAATTTTAGATATTCCCCGGGCAAGAAAATCTGCCACCCTAACATCTTTCCTAGAGTTAATTACCCGAGGGATTAATGAAAACATTGGATGGTGATACTGTTGGAGAAATATAATGAAAAAATCTCCTGCCATCCCAGAAAAATCTTTCCATAAAAGTAGAAAAAAAAAGTTTTATTATTGAATAAGCACGGAACCAGAATGTGCAGCAAGCCACAAGTGATTCACTACGGAGATTGTAAAGACAATGGAATTGTGCCCTTTTATCTAACCAAGCAGATACAATCCATTGCATGCATTCTCTCAAGATAAACAGTGCCTAGTCCTCAAATAAGAGGATTTGACTGTACCACCTGCCACACACAACTCACCCTAAATTCATTTGGTAACATATTTGCTAATTGTCCTTAAGAGAGCATTTCCTCTTTTTTCCATGGAAGTAGCTTGCAGTTTGGAGTCCCCAGGCCAGCTGAATTTCTGCGGCTATTCCCCAGGGGTAGGGGGACTGGGAAGTTGGGCACAATCTTCCTTGATGATTACATTTCAAAGAGAAAGCTCCCAGATCCTGAAGGAAACTTCATTCCTGGGTTGCTTATTCAACCTTTACAAGAGTTACTTGCCTTTCAAAGATAGAAAGAACTTACAAGTTTTCTAATGGAAAAGCTTTAAGAAAAGAGCCAGAGAGAAAGTCTCCACCCTCATTTTCAGCAGAGAGAATTAAACTTCTTATCTTTTAAATTTGTATTTGCCCTTAGAGTACTAAAATGTTAGAAATACTCATGTATTTTGCTTTGAGCCTCCAGTGCCCCTAGACTGGCATTGCCCTCCTTTCCTTACGGCTCCTCCTCAGGTCAGAATGTTTTCTCCTCCCCTGCAGGGACTGTTATCTGTCTGCCAGCTGGTAGTGAAGCCCTCCTGGAAATGCTCCACAGAGACAGACTGAAGCCTGGGGAGCAGCTACCAAGGGTGGCTGCAGAACTAGTACCCTCCCCATGCTGCTCCTGACTGTGGCAAGTGTGACCTCTGCATTACTCAAGGACAGGCAAGAAAGTAGCTTGCATTTTGTCTTATCTCATTTCACAGAACTCCATGAGGGCAAGCCTGTATGTGCTTTGCTCCATGTTGAACCCGCCGTGCCCAGCGTATAGTAGGTGTTCAACATATACTCGTTAAAGAAATGAAGAAACGAATGAGTGATCAAGCTGGAACCAGCCATCAAATATAAGGATAATACCAAAAATCGATGGTTCCCTGTCCCCGAGTTCATTTCTTTGTTTTTATAACCTCTTTTTTTTTCCGTTGAGACATAATTTACATACAGTAAAATGCACCCTTTTTGGTAGACAGCTATTTCGATTATGAGACACGCATGCAGTCATGTTGCACCACCACAAGATACAAAAGAACAGAAAAATTCCCTCCTGCCCCTTGAAGGTCAATCCCTCCCCCACCCCTTGCTCCTGGCCACTGCTGATATATTTTCTGTCCCTACCATTTTGCCTTGGACAGAATGTCATATAAAGGTAGCCTTTAAGTCTGGCTTCTTTCACTTCGTGTGATGCATTTGAGATTCATCTGTGTTGTTGCATGAATTTGTAGTCCATTCCTTTTTATTATCGGTCAGTCTTGGAGGGATGCAACAGTTTGTCTAGCTGTTCACCCCTTGGAAATCATTTGGGTTATTTCCAGGGTTTGAGGAGCAATTCTGAGTAAAGCAGCTATTGCATGCAGGTTCCTAGAGATCTTATGTTTTATTTCACTTGGGATTGCTAAATTGTATGATGAGGCTATGCTTATAAGAAACTACCATGCTGGTTTTCAAAGAGGCTAAACAAGTTTGCATTCCCATCAGCAATGCATGCAGCAAGCCCTGCGTTCCCTCACCAGCGCTTGGTGTCATCAGTTCTTCTGTTGTTTTCAATGTTAGCCATTCTAATAGGTGTAAATAAGACAACCACAGACCCACAATGGCTTTACTTAGGCTAAGTCACCAAATGGGGGCTTAATACCTAACTAAGTGCAATTTCAATCTCCTCCAGAAATTTAAGTCTTAACTGGTGAGTCGGGAATTTTCTGATCAACATCAGTGATCCTCTTCATCCCGGAAAGGAAGATGAGGTAATCCACTTAATAAGACCCCCTGTCCATCGTCCCTCTAAGGGAAAGTGACTTTGACTGGAACAATTCTTTCTTTTATTTTGCTAATAACTTTCCTGCCCCACCCTCCTATAAAAACCTTCCATTTTATACAGCCCCTCAGAGCATCTCTCTACTTGCTGGATGGGATACTGCCCAAGTCCTGAGTCTCTTATAAAGCCAATTAACTCTTCAAAATCACGTGACTGGCCTGTTTTTTAGCAAATGTGTATAAAGGTATTACATTGTGGTTTGATTTACATTTCCCTAATGACTATGGTATTGAACATTTTTTTCATGTATGTATTTACCATCTGTATATTTTCTCTGTTGAAATGTCTGTTGAAATATTTTGGCCATTTTGTTATTGGCTGTTTGTTTTCTTAGTGAGTTTTGAGAGTTCTTTATATATTCTGGATAAAATCTTTTTATCAGATATATGCTTTGTTAATAATTTCTATTGGTCATTGGGTTGACTTAACTTGTTTTAACCTTTTTTGTTTTTTGTTTTTAAAGATTTTATTTATTTTTATTTATTTGACACAAAGAGAGAGATAGTGAGAGAGAGAGAGAGAGCACAAGCAGGGGGAGCAGGAGAGGGAGAAGCAGGCTCTCTGCTGAGCAGGGAGCCCGATGCGGGGCTTGATCCCAGGACCCTGGGATCATGACCTGAGCCGAAGGCAGCCGCTTAACCAACTGAGCCACCCAGGCACTGCTAACCTTTTTTTTTGTTTTAAAACAAAATTCCCCCTCTGACTTTTCCAAGACTATGAAGTGGTTGAATAAATTTAGGAATCTGAAGTGAAAAACTCCATGGCCTGTCTGTAATTGCAGATGGGGCTTCCCCAGAAGCTGAACGCTCTCCTTGACCAATGGCTTCTGGTTAAGGCCAGTAGCCTGGTTCCCTCAGGAGTTGGGAAGGAAACATTTTCCTCTATTCTGGCTGGCCTATGAATTAAATTGACATGAAACAAATTAACAGGAGAGAAACAAAAGCTTAATAACATGTCTATCTCCTGTATGTAAGGGAGAGACTCAGGGAAACTAAGCAATTCCCCCAAAGGGCTGAAGCCATCACCTTAAAAACCATCTTCAGTTAAAGACAAAAGACGTTGGGGATGGAGGGTCCGTTGTGAGAGGAAAAAGCACAGTAAGCAAGGGTCATGCTGTTATGCAGATTTAATTGCCTTCTGCATCAGTAACAGTTTCTAGAGACTTAGAGCTCCCTTTTCCTGATACCCTTACACATGGAGATTTCCCTTGTCAATGCAAAAGTCTCTTACAGTAGGGTAATTTCTACTTGATTTTCAGAGCCCATTTTATATCTGAAGTTTCTTTAAAGTAACCAACTTAAAATAATATGCCAAAGAGGCGTATCTCTGAGTGGCGAAATTTGCTCCCGTTTACGGGCTCTGACATTTTAGGAAGTTGTGCGTGCGTGCACCTCAGACTCTCCTCCCCCTGGGGTCCTCCTTCCTTTGTGGGGAGGTACTCTTCTCCTTTCAGCTCTCTGGCACTGGTAGCCAGAGCAACGCACACTGGGTCAGGAGCTGCCCCCTTTAGAGCACCAGGCTGGCTGAGGGGAAGTCACCAAGAGAACTGAGAGAATGGGGAACTCTCCGCTGAGGGAAAACAGGTGAGTCCAGTCTCCCCAGAGGAAAGCAGCGGACGTGGGACAGAGCCATCAAGAAAAAAAAAAAAAGAGGTCTTTGGGCAAGGGGAGGGAACAGGGTAAAGAACTGAAAAAAAATTAAGTGCCTACTGAGGGTCAGACACTAAGTTCAACTCCTTATAGTGCTGGCCTTCTCCCCAGAATCAGAGTGAGCAAGCAGCTGGTGGAGAACCCCTAAAAGGCAGAAGGACTTTATCAAGGGAGGTCAATGCCGTAAACCATGACTTAAGAAATGCAACAATTTTCTGAGGGCTGGCAGGGGATGGGGGTGGGTAGGACAGTCTCCCGAGTTCTTAATGCCTGCAAGGAGCTCAAAGACACCACTACTCTTTTAATTACTATTTTAGTTCAAAATAAATAGCAAGCTTCTGCCCACAGGGAGGGCTCACCCGGTGCACATTCCCTGCAATGGGTAAGCAGCGGTCATTAAAATCGGTCAAGAATTTGGCTTTTTCTAGACTTTGGTTTCCTAATTTTAAGAGGAAGTAATAATACAATACCTACCTTGGAAGTTTCTAGTGCGTGTGATGCTAGCACAGTGCCTTACACACAGTAAGGTTCAATAATAATAAGATATTATTTTGAGGGACCATCATCTTCATTAACATCAAAGCAGTCATTGTAAAAATTAGTACCACCCAAAACAAAGAGAATCCCTAGTGAGGTGGTCTAGGAAGAATGAACTCGCTGGGACAAGGAAAGGGGAATACTTCTAAGGATTACGTTTGGCATCCCGAGTCCCAGTTCCTGCCACTGGGAGCTAAGACACGGGACTCAAAATGCCACCTGCCAAAAAGAGGCTTGGTCAGCCCATGGGATGTGTCCTGCCCCTCCCTGAAACCCAGTGTTTTCTGAAACTCCTCCCTGGTTCCTCAGGCCTTGAGCCATCTGCAGCTCGGCCATGTTATCAGCTTATAAATCCCTATTCTCATATCTATGTGTGAGTTCCTCAAATGGGGACTGTTTCTTAGTCATGTTTGAATTCCTGTTTCCTAGCATTATTTCTGACAAATAGTAGGCACTCAAAATGAGTTTGATGAATGATTGGAAACGTGAAGAAATCACTGTCTTGAGAAGAAAAATAAAACAAAATACAGATATAATGTGACTGAGAAAGTCATGATTGATGTGACATTTGTAGTTTTTTTGTTTTGTTTTGTTTTTAGAATTTTGGTGTGAGGGTGAAGGATTAGGACTTTAATACATATTAGTTGTAGAAACAGTGAAAAATACATGAAGTATAAAGAAAAAAATGGTAACTCACAGTTATAACTGTTGACAACATTAGATACATCTTCCTTATTTTAATGTCTATATTTATCAGTCATTTGTATTTCTTTGTCTGTGAAGAGCCAGTAATGTCTTTTGCCTATTTTTTGTTTTGGATTTTGGTCTACTTTGTTTTACTGATAGTACAAGCTATTCTCAGTTTGAAGAAATTAGCCCTTTCTCATATTACAAAAAAATAGTTTTTCTAGTCTGTATATCTTGTGCCATGCAAACTTTTTATGTTTTGTTTACTATTTCTTAAACATAATTGAATTAAATCTAGAAAGCTCTTAGGTTTCTACCAATTAATGCTTAAAATTTTTCCCCATCTTAAGATAAGACACATTCACAGTATCATTTTTTTGTTGTTGTTTTATTGCTTTACATGTAGACCCATACATTCACTATATGGTGTCAAATACGCATACACATACACACACACACACCCCACCCACACACACGCACATATATATATTTTTTCCAAAATAGTTGATCAGTTGGCTCAGCATCTTCATTTCCATGCTGATTTAAAATGTTTCCCTTAGGGTGCCCCAATGGCTCAGTTGGTTAAGCGTCTGCCTTCGGCTCAGGTCATGATCACGGAGTCCTGGGATCAAGCCCTGCATTGGGCTCTCCGCTCTGTGGGAAGCCTGCATCTCCCTCTCCCACTCCCCCTGCTTGTGTTCCTGCTCTAGCTGTCTCTCTCTGTCAAATAAATAAATAAATAATCTAAAAAAAAAGATTTAAAAATAAAATAAAATAAAATATTTCCCTTAGTATAATTTTCAAAGGCTTTTAGTTCCTGGGATCTGATTTTCAACTTCACCCCTATCTCCCATTTATCATCCAGTCAGCACAGCCCCACCATGGTTCTCCAGATCAGATTTGTTACAAAAGCCATGGAGATCCCCCCCGCCCACACACACACACACACACACACACTGAGCAGTGTGTCACCTAGTCCTCTACAAGAGGAGCTCAGAGTCTTACTGATTGGTGGTCCTCGGACAAGTTACCTAACATTTTTGGCCTCAGTTTTCTCATTGGTAAAAAATAGAATCATAACATCTATCTCATGGATTTATTCTGAGATTAAATGAAATATAACATATAAAATGTGTGTGTTATATACATTTAGTAAGTGGAGTGTGTGTGTGTGTGTGTGTGTAGAGAGAGAGAGAAGATGAGAGAAAGTAATAAGCATATAGTAAGTAGTACTTAATTTTTATTTTTTTTAAAGATTTTATTTATGTATTTGATAGACAGAGACAGCGAGTACAAGTAGGCAGAGTGGCAGGCAGAGGGAGAGGAGAAGCAAGCTCCCCGCCCAGCAGAGAGCCTGATTCAGGGCTCGATCCCAGGACCCCAGGATCATGACCTGAGCCAAAGGCAGACACCCAACCGACTGAGCCACCCAGGCGCCCCAGTAGTAGTTAATTTTTAGTTTCTTTTTTCTCTATACCCTCAAATCCCCACAAGTGAAAAAAAATGGTTATACAGAAACCCAACCCGCACAAGGAACAGATTTATTTTCTTTCTTTAATCCTTTCTTCTCCTCTTATCCCATGTTCTCTGCCTTGGTGCTGTAAAAGCTGATGACTTACCTGAGACAAGCCAGTACCCTTCCCCATCCCCGTGCGCCATCCCGAAGACTGCGCCAAGTGGATAGGCCTCTCCATATGCTGATAGCCTCATGGTCATCATGAGCAATCCCAGCCGCATGGGAACAAATGATTTAGGGCCGGTGGTGTGTGGAGTTTGTCGGAGAATGTCGGTGGGTGGGTTGTTGCCATGGCAATGAGGAAGTGTCAGATAAAAGGTTGCCATGTATGTTAAAGAGAAGCTGTGAACAGATCTGAGGGGAACAGGCTGAAGCTGAGGTGATGCCGGGGTGATACACAAATGGCAGAAATGGCAAAAGTTGGAAAAATTGGTAATCAGGGAGGGAAGCCCAGAAAGGAAGAACTTAGCTCATTCCTGATATGTTGGGTTTTAGGTGGCAGCAGAACACTCAAGAAATACCCTGGACTCTGGAAAACCAAAGCTTCGAACAGAGAACATCCAGGTGAGAACAAATCCAACAAACCTTCTCCCAGCCTTTGCCCATGAAGAGTAAAGTCTGTCAGGTACTGGACTTCACATGCTCCACAACGGAGCACCCTGCCTCGCCCAGCAGCAGCTGTAATCATGGTAAATGTGAAGACAAGACAAAAGACAAAACACTTTGAACCTTTGGACAGGAGACGTGCAACCCCTGCTGCCTCTGATCATTTAGCTCAAGTACCTTTGTGCTCAGCTCCATCCTGACCATTCCATTTTAGACTCTTTAAGTTTCTATTGCTGAGGTGACTACATCTCCCATATGATCGTTAAAAGGTTTGTGGAGAGAGACACTTGCAATCACCCTGATGCTGTTAGACCAAGATTTCCTCATGAACCCTTTCTGACCAGTCCTTTTGAGTGCCAGGGAATCACTCAAATATGGAACTAGGGTCTCAGGGTCCAAGAATTCCAAAAAGTAGCAAAGCCAGTTGTTCTGTGACCTATAGACTTACCTGCCCTTTTCCCATGGTTTCAGGAGAAGCTCTTGAAAGAATATCAATTAAATTAAAAAGCAACCACTGAGCCAAAGCTTGCATTAGGAGCTGGACACCCAAAGAATCCCCCAACAGGGATCTGTACTGTATCACTGGGGGAGGATATGTCTGGACGGTATTTTTACAGTACATGTCTTCAGGGCAAGCTAAGGATCATCTATTTGGGGGATATCCCTGGACGTGTGTTAAAGCATATACTCCAAATAATGAACCAGACCAGAAGGGTCATGGGCATTATAACAAGGGAGAGACTGGGTAGACTAGGGGGCCAGGGAAGCTTTATGTAAGAGACAGGAACCTGGAATTGCCGGCACAGAGTGTGGCGTCCCAGAGATGCATCCGGTCTCCTGCAGAACCTACCCCAAACCAAAACATCCAGGCTGAAATGCAAGAATACATTACAGAAAAATTGAGTGGGGGAAATAACAAGCTTGAAAATAGCTTTTGCCCATATTTAACTTTATGTGACCCTTACAACTCCATGAGGTAAGCAGTGTAAGCATCTTCGTTTTACGACAAAGAAACCATGGCTCAAGTTTTCCAAAGATCCTCGTCCCGTCAGTAACTCAAAATCGGCTGTCTTTTCTCATCACCCAAATCTCCTTAGGGAACCAAATCTCCTTAGGGAACCCAGTTTCTTAGCACTGGCGAAGTTCAGTGGTTTCCTTCGGGCGTTTCTTCAGCCACAGAAACAGGAGATAGAAACAACGGCTGAAAGTCGCATGAAGAGGAGCCATGCCTTTCAGCCGTCAAACTCTGGGGGTACAGGGACCCCCAGTTGCTGTCAGAACACTCTGCCATGCTGGTGCCGACAGCATCTCCTCCAGCACCCTTTGCAAGGGAACTCCCTGGGAAGCTCACTTTGTGGGGGATATGTCCGGATGGTACTTTTACAGACCCTTTTAACATAGTGTTACCAGGACATGCAGGGCTTTCACATTCAACTACATAGGTAGCTGACTATGACTCAAGTTCAGAAAGATGCCCAGCATGATAGACGTCAGCCTGGATGTCTGACTGCAGAACGATCTGCCTCCCATAAAAGAGATCCCAAGTCCTGTTAATTTACCTGTCCCTTGGGTCAAGGAGGCAGATTTGATGACCTGAGCCAGTTGGAGTTACTCTGTTCTTGGCTACTCGTTCATCTATCAAATATTTATTGAAAATAGATTTACCAGCCACTCTGCCACATGCTGGTGATCTATGCCGGCGATGAACAAAATAAATCTATACGGTCCCCGACTTTATGAATCTCTAGTGTAGGATGTAAACAAATGAACTGTTAAATAACAAAATTCAACAAAGTAAATGGGAAGATCTACTTGTCTTTATTAAATGATTCACGAATCAGCAACACCCCATCTAGTAGGTAGAGAGGCTCTCAAAGGAGTTATATATAGAAGGAGGGTGGAGAAAAGAAAGTTATTAGCAGAAGAAAAAGATTATCCCAGGTGAGGCTACTACTTTCTAAGGGGAAAAGCAAGGTGTCTTATCATGCAGATTATCTCATCTTTTTGTGGGGATGGAGAAGGCCAGGTGACAGACTTAATGGCACAAATTGAAGAATTCCCGGCTGATGGGTTAAGACTACATTGATGGAGGAGGTTGAAACTGCAATTCAATTATGTTTAAGCACCACTTTGGGAACTCAGTCCAAGTGACACCATTTTGAGCCAGTGTTGTTTTGGGGTTTTTTCAACCTAACAATTATAATGTGGTATACATTTATAATTATAGTTTAAATAGGAGAACTTCAGAGTACAGTAGAATTCGCTATAAATATTGCCTAACCTGTACCAGAAAGAAATTTCTAAAATGTCCGCACACTGATACCATGATTTCCTGGAGATGACTCTTGTGTGTCCTTCATCACAAGAGACCAAGTAAATCATTGAAATTGGGGATGAGCAAGCTCTTCTAGGTGACTTGGACACATCTATCATGCTAGAATGACTCCTCCCTCCCGGGATATGAACTGCCCCTTTGGAAATATGGAGATGATGCCTATCAACAGCAGAAAGTTCCTTCCCTGATTAGGAGGTGATACGCATCGTCTTCATATTTCCAAAGGGGCAGTTCATGTTCTGGGAGGAAGAAATCATTCTAACATAATAGATGTGTCCAATCGTCTAGAATAAATACTGTCTTGGGGGTTGGGAGAGAAAAAAAGGTTTTTCACAGAACTGGCAAAGAGAAGGAGTCACCCTAATCAAGCTGCAGAAACCAACATGGTGACTTGTGTCATCTCATGGTTATTTTAGATGCTGGGACTGCTACGTTGCCGAAGGGTGTTTCTGCCTTCCGTGGTGAGTGGAGAATTGTTTTCAAGAGTTATTTCACTGAGTGTGGTTTCAATGTGGTATTTACTGTAAATCACCTGTAACTGCCCACTGTCTGTGGCCACAGGGGAAGCCTCTGACTCCCCGGACACAGTCATCTGAGAGTCAGTCAGGGAAGTAACAATTCGAGCCTGGTGAGAAATAGGAACAATAGTCTTGATGGCGCTCCTTGAACCAGAAAGCCTCAGAAGCAAGGCTGAAAGTGGCCACTGTAGAGGGAAAGACCCCTCCTCACACTGTAAGTGCTAGACTCCATGTGTGGAAGCACACGTTCCTGGTCCTTGCACAGAAAACTCACAGCCAGGGTGATCATATAAGTCCTCTGACACCCTGGGAAGGCATTGAGAGTGAAAGGCATGCTACAAATAGTTTGGGGTCCCTAAGTGACTGATAAGGACATTACCCAGACTCCCTAAGCCAAGTGGGACATATGGTCATGCTGCTTGGCACACATGTCATTGTCTCCTGAGATGATAATGAGCTTCCATTATATTTAGACTGTGTTCCTCTGGGGGACTCGTCTCTACAGAGTAGTTACCCCTGTGCTCACATGGACCACATTTGCTTGCTTGCTTGCTTGGAGGTCAGAGATCAGGCTTGGGGTTGGAATTGGAAATAACCTTGGCTCCTTATGTCACATGATATAAAAGAAATTGATATTTTGTTAGAAAAAAATATCCCCAAATAGTTAACTATGACATCACCATAGTTCTCCATTTATAAATCAATTCTACCTCAACCCATAGAAAAGGGAAAAGGGAGAAGAGAGAGAGAGAGAGACACACACACACACACACACACACACACACACACACAGAGGTGGAGATTTCTACTTGGTCTTATCTTTCATTTTTCCTTTTATCTATCTTCGTTTTCCTCTACGCTAAAGGAGGTATAACTTTAACAAATGAAAGAGTTAAAGATAAGGTTTTAGAGTCCAGTGTCATTTCCTTTGAGAGTTTCTGAATATTGAAAACTTTTCCTTCCTTTTCTTTTTTCAGGAAAAAAGTATGCATTTGTAAAGCAAAGCCAGATTCCTCAAAGACGAGTAAGTCATTGCTTTCTCATCTTTTCTACTTTGGACAGACTTATATTTCCACACCGCCCCTTCTCTGTGCTTCCCAAGCTCCTTGGGCGTCATCCTTCCAGTGTAACACTTACGTGTGGGTCTGTGTCACTCATCCAGTTGCTTGTGTCTCTCTCCACAAGACTGTGAGCTCATCGAAGCAGGAACTGGCTACTGATCTCCGTATCCCAACGTGAGGTCTGGAGGCCAGACGGGTGAACTGGGAACAATAACTGGAAAGGTAGAGGGTCACCGAGAGCAACAAGGAGGGGCGGGACCTTGTAGGCAAGCTTAGGATTGGAGTTTTTGTCTTGAAAACTGCAGAACTATTGAGGGGCTTTAAACAAGGGGCTGGTATGATGCCCTTTGCATGAAAAGACACTGCCTGGGTTGCTGTGCAGAGAACACATTGCACTAGCGCCTGGCAAGAAGAGATGCTGGAGGTTCACTTAGGGGGTGAGGCAATGGTCTTTGGAGACAGAAGAGGACTGCAGCTAAGGAGAAGAAATTCGAGAAGGAGAGGGTGGTGAATAGCATCACATGCAAGAAAGAGAGAAAGGAAGTATAGGCCTGAGGACAGGCCATTGTATTTCTAAAGAAGAAAAGTGATGGAGTTTTGCCTCTGCCTTCCTGGGTTTAAAGAGCAGAGCCTAATTCATTCACTCTGAGTCTTGCAAACTAGCTCCATAAAGTGTATGTGTGAATAATACGGCCCTCCCACCCCTAGCATCACCCCGCGGAATGGTGGGGCCCAGGAAACCCCAATCTCCATCAGAGCAAAACAAGGTGGAGATAAGACCTCTAATGCAAAAACTCACAGACGTTCCTTGCAGTGATAATCAGGGACATCCTAGATGGCCATGGGAATTTATGGAGATGTGAGAATCTGGGATGTCAGTCCTGAGGGAAGGTAAATCCATAATATAATAAGATGAGCTGCAGGGGCACACCCACCTCCTGTGTTAGGAGGGCATCCTGCGGCTTCCGTGTGAAAGCTCACGTTGGCTTATCGAGCCTGTGTGTTTGCGAGGGGGTAGCGAGTGCATCCGTTTGCCTCTTTGCTGAGTGGCCAAAGCCAGTTGCTTTTAAATAAACTGGCTTTTGAAAATCTGGCCAGGTTTTGTGTGTATCTGCTAGCAAATTCAGGAATGGGAATGCTCAATTTAAGAATTTCCTTCCGTCAAGCTTTTCCTGAGCACCAGCCCCCCCACTACTATCATCCCCTGTCACCTGCAGTAGACACGACAGTCCTCCTTTGCATCGTAGATCCTCAGGGGCCCTTGTCTGCCTCCTATGCTAGCCTGTGAGCCCCTTGAGGACAGGAACTGTTTCTGATTTTTCTTTGTCTCCCCCGTGCCTGGTACAAGGTAGGTATGCAATGAATTTTGTATGAGGGAGGGAGGGGTGAGGGAGAGAGAGGAATTGTGATTTCCCTTCCAAGACCCCACCGAATATGTCTCCCTCCACTCAGCCCCAAACAGCTCTGCTGTTTCTTTAGATGGTCCTGTCATTCCCCAGGGGTGTGTCACAGGTCAGGATAGCCTGATGGACCACTGTTTGGCTCTCTGACTGCTTATGTCCCAGTGTCCACCCCTTCCCCCCACTCCCCATCCTCTCTAAAATCTCTCCATGACCTGAAATTGATTGTATTTTCTTTCTCCAGATAAAGGAATGTCATCTGCTCCTGTGCAGGTAATGCAAACACCTCTGAACCCTTTTCTGAGATGCTGGTAGCAATGCAGATACCCCAGATGGCAGAAGTTGGCCTCCAAGACCACTTCAAACCTTGAAATGAAAGAAAGACTTTAGATGCCAGTGCTTGTCGGCCCAGGGCCCTGTGTGGGGCCTGGTGGCAGCAACGTCAGCCACCTCTGTTGTACATCTTACTGAAAGGAGCTAATATATATGGAGCCCTTTGTTGATGCCAGGCAGTGTGCTGAGAGCTTTGCCTGGAGTGTCTCACGTCACTGTTATGGCGATCCTATAAGACTGGCACTATTATTTCCCCTGTTGTACAAATGAGAAAACAGAGAGGCTAAGTGTGCCAAGGGGTTCCACTGGTTCCACATATTTGAAGGACCAAATCCCCAGGCCAGACGCTGACAAGAAGTCAGGGGCATGATTCAAAACCAAGCCTCAGTCCCAGATCCAAGGTTCTCCCTCTTGTATTTTGCTGCTTTGCTTTTTATCTCCTGAGATTCCACTGCCTGGGAGCTTCTTTTGAGTGGTTTCCCTTTTTAATAATGCAAAAATCTCTAGGATGAGTGGTTAAATACCATAAGCTGTCATGCCAAGGTGGCCTCAGATTGTTCTCTTATATAAAAATGTGCTGCCCTCGGGGTCTGAGACTTGGGAATTATATATATGACTTGGGATAGTCAGGGGTCACTCTGGAACATGGGGCAGAGAGGACATGCCTGGGCAGGCTGAATACTCTGGACAGCATGAGCTCTCTGGATGCCTGGGCTAGTGGTTGGGGTGGGGGTCGCCATTAGGAAAAACAGCCAGGGGGTGGAGGAGAGATGGTCATGGAAGACAGATTTTGACCAGGGTTGGGTCTGTGTTGAGCCTGGAGTATATAAAGGGAATGGCAAGAGTCTCACTCTTGATAAGGTTCTTCTTTGACCAGCAGGACAGTGCTGATCAGAGCTCCTCGGAGGATCTCTGCTACACCCACATTAATCATGTCGTCCTTGGGAGAAGGCTATCAGGGATCTCCAGTGAGGGGTTCTATGAGAACGTTTCCCCTAAGACCAAGACATCCAGGAAGTCCTTGGGAGAAACCGAGACTTCATACGCACTTCTCCGGGTGCCTTCCTCCCCAAGGCATTTGTCTTCCCCAGAAGATGAATATGAACTTGTAGTCCCTAGTAGAATCTCCTTCCACTCCCTGCAACAGCCACATGTACCTCTGCTACCGTCAAAGACTCAGGTTTCCTATTTATAATGAAATAGTTGGACCAGCACTTGTCTAATACCAGTAAATAAAAACTGGGGGTGTGGGGCTCTGGTTGAAGCAGGTGTGGGGTCTAGAGCCCTTCAGGCTTACCCCCCTCCACACACACAACAGCCTTTGTTACAGGGGTCTCTGCAGAATCCGGTTTGCCAACCACAGGGCCTCTTAGATCCAGCTCAATATTCATCATCCAAAGACCAACCACCTATCCCGAACACCGCTCTTTGAGAACGGAGTGGCCATCTTTGATTCCAAATAGCTTTGGAAAAGGACCAATTAGCTCAATGGAGGGAGGGGATTCTTGGTCACCTACAGCTATGAGTATCACAAAGGGTCTGCTCCTTTGTCCAGATTCTTCTCCATAAAATGTCCACATGATTGTTTCCTGGAGTCACAAGGAAACTTTATCCATCGTACTAAGTGTGCCGAGGGGTTCCACTGGTTCCACACATTTGAAGGACCAACCCCTCACTCCAAGCCTTCCAGGTGGCAACCTGTGTGTTCCTCTCACCCTGTGCCACTTAACCGTGTCCTTTGCATTGTGTCCTTTGACTCGTTGACCCTTGTGGTTTTGTTGGTTATGTGAGTTGAATCAGTAAGTTCTACATCAGGTTTTTATATAATTTTTAATAAAATTTTAGTCCATATTTTTTAACCTCATATTTCTCCCTAGAAATCTTAACAAGAAAATCACAGCATTAGAGAATGGTAGAGTAGAAAGACCTATGGAGACACTCTAATCCCATTATCCGTTTTGCTCAGAGAAGTAACGCAATGTACATTGCAAGTTAGTGACAGAACTTTATCCAGAGCCTGATTTCCTGGTTTCCAATTCAGCACTCTTCCAACATATTACCTAGAAGAGCCTCTACTCAACTGTGTGGTGTGTGTGTGGATGAACTAATACGTCATGTATAAAATATGAAAAAAGTCCACATGAGAAAAATAATACACACACATCTCCACACACATACCCCTTCTCTAATGAGCCTTTCTCTGTATGTTCTGATTATTTTTCCTAATTTTTTCTTCATTATTCCTAGAATTCCATCTATCCCCTAAAACAGAGGTCAGCAAACTGTGACCTGCAGGCCAAATCTGACCTACTGTCTTTTTTTATATATAAATAAAATGTTATTGAAACACAGCCATGCTTATTCATTTATACTGTATACATGTTCATACTGTCTATGGCTCCTCAGCCACAGAAGAGTTGAGTAGTCGTGACACACACTGACGGTCCTGCAAAGCCAAAAATATTTTTTTGCCCTCTTCAGAAAAAAAAATTTGTAGACCCCAGACCTAAACGATGATACTTGGGAGATAAACTTTATAGAAATGTGTTTGGGTATTGTAACTCATAAGAGCTGGTACCAATAAACTGGCATGAAAATATTAAACCACAAATGATATGAGTGAGGCCAAGAACAATTAGCAAATTAGACTATTTCTATATTCACACCTGTGTTCTCAACTTCCTGTTTTTTTTTTTAACCTGTGGCCATTGTCCTAATTTTAGGGACGTTAAAATAGTAAAGGTTTGTTGACAAAGTAGTATATAAAATTATGTTTAATTACTGTTTTGTCCCCCAAGGTACCTAAAGTTAAATAACTGTTCTTTAAAATGCACTAAATATAGGGCGCCTGGGTGGCTCAGTTGGTTAAGCGACTGCCTTCGGCTCAGGTCATGATCCTGGAGTCCCGGGATCGAGTCCCACATCGGGCTCCCTGCTCAGCAGGGAGTCTGCTTCTCCCTCTGACCCTCTTACCTCTCGTGCTCTCTATCTCTCATTCTCTCTCTCTCAAATAAATAAATAAAATCTTTAAAAAAAAATTAAAAAAAAATTAAAAAATAAAATGCACTAAATACCAGGGAGGAGAAATCCAGTGACATGAGGTTGGACGTGTCAACACACGTTTGCTGAGACTTCAGGCAGTCAGTGGTCTTGAGCTAAGAGCCAGTCACATCTGGATATCTTGTCCTCTGCTAATTTCCCATTTTCAGCCATGGAACGCTATGGAACCCTAACCTTGACCCTTGGCCAGGATTCACTTAGGGAAAGAGTGTGGACGCTAGAGTCAGATAATCAATGATTCAGATCCTGGCTCTATCCCTTCCTCCCTCTGTGACCTTGAGCATGTAACTTGAAAATTTGGCTTTATCACCCATGAGGAGGAGGGTTGCATCTAATGTATGTAATTCATTTACCGCAGACCTTGAATAAATGATATTAAAGAGCAAAAAGGACAAAAACCTTCATGACATATGGAGAAAAACATGTGTGGATGTGCTTGATGATCAGGGTCATCCAGTGATCTTCCAGTGGGTTAGAAATGGAATTGCTGGTTTTATACTGGAATTTGTCATTTGGGCATTGGACCATTGCTAAAGTTGACCAGTTTAAATATCTTCAGTACAATATAAGTTATGTTAGTTTGAGTCTTCTCCTATGAAAGCATTATTTGTCCCAAATAGTATATGCCTCTTACCAGCAATATATTAAGTATAAATGCTTCGCCAATGAAATTTGTTCTTATAATGAAATTCAGAGGGATGATGGAAGGGAATGATTTTTGAGCAGGAGAGCCCTTCAGGAGTGCTTTGTCTGTATATAATGCTAGTCCTCTTTTCCAGAGATTTCAGGACTTTGATGAAAGCCATGTAACCCTCTTCACAGAAAATACACATTCACACAATATTTTATACAATTTCACGTGGTCAGGGCTGTCACCCATCAATGAAAGAATTTCTGCGCTCTTGATAAGAAATGGAGGCTGAGGATTTAAACTGCTCCCTCAGAGCACAGACATCATCAGGGAACTCCCCTCCCCCACGCTTTCCTTACACCTGTACTCGGCCAGTTCACGGACGCAGGCTTTGTGGTTTCCGTTTTACGTTCATAGTAGCGTCTACAAATAGCCCTTTAGCCTGTGAACAAATTCTTATTCAGAACAGAAGAGAGGTACAAGAAAAGGGCAAAGCTAGGTCAGGACAATCTACCGTTGATAACAAATAAACTCAAGTGCTGACATTTTTCAGACAACCTTGGGTGCCAAGTGCTTCGAATATTCTCAGGAATGGGATGGAAACATGTAGGTAGAACAGGACAGGTGAGTCCCTGGAATGCTACAGGAGCCTTCAGACAAAAGGAGATTCCGTTTACACGTATCTGACTCTGTCCTTTTTCCAGCCTCTTGTGTTCAGAAGGCACCTTGAAAGTCACTGGATCTGAGCGTACCTCAGTTCTGCCACCTGTTGAATGGGTCAGTGTAAGTTCTTCCCACTTTCCTACAGAGGGTGCTTTTGCAAGGCCTTCGGGGGAGCCCTGGGTGGTCATGATCATCCCAGAGGGTCTTCTACAGTCTGATGGTAACATCTCTTAACTCATCCCTTCCCCTCTCACCACCTGTGAGAGCACACTCTTCGTGGATTCAGTCAAGCCTGAACTGAACATGACCCTAGGGAGCCTGCCAAAGTCAGAGGCTCTTGACGGTCTGAGGTTGCCTAGTGGGCTGGACATTGCTCCCCAAGACTGGGGAACTCCAGGCTCATCCATTCACCTCTCCAGACCTTGCTTTCCTAAGTATGAGATGAGGGGACTGCCTGTGGACACCACCGCCAGCAACACAGGGCAATGTGAAGGAGCGGACTGTAAGGCAAGGAAACCATAATGGGGAGCAGGGGAGGGAAGACTTACTGAGATTTCTCTCATGTTTCTCAGCACTGATGAGACTCTGAACGGGGCAGGGGTCCATGCAGAGCCCACAGCTAAGAGGGAAAAGAGGGGCAGCTGGTGGCTCAGTCGGTTAAGCATCCAACTCTTGCTATCAGCTCAGGTCTTGATCTCAGGGTTATGAGATCGAGCCCCACATTGGGCTCCACACTGGGCATGGAGCCTACTTAAAAAAAATGAATGAATGAATGAATGAATGAATGAGAACGTGAACCTCATCCTAATCAGACACAAACATGTGTAAAGGAAAGCAAATCTGTCTATTCCAATCCCACCCCAGCTGCAGGTTCAGCTGTATCGTCCCTCTTAGGCAAGGCCTTCTCCAACTAGACGACACTGACTGCTCTCTTCTCTGACTACCCACAACCCAAAGTCTGTCCCCATGTTCACAACAGGCTGTTTTGTCTTGCTGTTTCCTAGCTGGTCTGTGCAGAGCCACACTGCCCAACGAGACCAGCAGCTTCTTTTCTTATTATCGTCCTCCTCTTCGCCCATATCTCCTGGAGTCTTCTGCCAAACACATCATTAAACAAATCTAGAGCTAAGTTAAATTGAAAGGTAGAAAAGAGGGACACCCAGGTGGCTCAGTCAGTTAGGTGTCTGCCTTCCACTCAGGTCATGTCCCCAGGGTCCTGGGATCGAGTCCCGCTTCGGGCTCCTTGTTCAGCAGGGAGCCTGCTTCTCCCTCTCCCTCTGCCCTTCCCCCCCTGCTTGTGAGCTCTCTCTCTCTCTCTTAAACAAACAAACAAATAAATAAATAAAATCTTTAAAAAAAAAAGGTAGAAAAGAATTGGATGCATGGACAGAATTTTCATTGGGGATGGGAGGGGGGCACACTCCAGTACTCTGGCTGTACCCTTTCTGCCTGCATCTAAGTGACTTCCAGAAAAGACCAGTGCCTCTTCTCAAATCCTTCAGTGATGTCACAGATAATTGTTGAGACCTTATTATGCATCAGGCATTATGCTTATCGTGAAGATGCGTGGCGACCAGTAAGTTCATCTCCTCTGGCAGAACAGTGTATACCTGAGTGCCATATTTTTTCCCAGACACCTCAAAATACTTAATTCACAAAGTTCAGTTCTTCCCACACCACTGGAGCCGAGTCAAACCTATGGAAAGTCTTCTGTATGACTTGGTAGTTGCGTCTTAGTGCTTTCCAAAGGAGAAGGGAAAAGCCCACTGTCCTGGCCCTTCCTTCCAGCCCGGCCCTTCAGACACCTGGGCCTGCCGGGAGAGCACCCTGGAAGGAAGCAGAAGGGAGAGGGGGCCCCTCCCTGCTCTCCCTGCAACAGAGGAGGACCTAGCCCACTCCAGCCCCTCCAGCTCAGTCTTACTCAGGAGGGGAAACTGCCCTCCGGGAAATGAAAAATCAGTTCCAGCACCATTCACCGCAGGAAAATGCCAGCCCCATCATGCCCCCGAGACACAACACCTGTGAAACAAGCGTGACTGTGACCACGCCCACGCCAGGAATAATTTATTGCCAATAGTTTTAAATCCTTCCCCATGAAAGTTATTCATTACGTTCTCAAAAGTAGACACACGTTACGGTTTACATTTGACATGTAAAAAATAAAGAGGAAGAAGGGAAACACACCTATTTGGATAGTTTGAGGAACTGGCCTCAAAATGAGACAGCAGGTTACAATAAACGTACCCTCCAGTTAAATAAGAAAACAAGTTCACATTATCCAGAGTCCTGGATCACAAAAAGACCGGGGCAAATCTAGCCTGAGACTCACAGCTGGACACCTCCCCCGTGCACGGCAGCCCCTCACACTGACGTCCACCCACGGCCCATTAACTGAGATCCCAGGGCTAAGAATGTCTCATGATAGGACCACAACACTCTCTCTTGGAACATTTCCAGCAAAACAATTTTCCCAACGAAACAAATCCTCTGCTTCCTCATGCTAGGCAATTCCATGTCTATAGATGATCAATACAGTCGCTGACATTCCCCCTGGCCTGCTAACAAATTGGCATCAAGCCTCCAACGGGTTATTTCAAACAGAGAGTGGTTCTTCCTGTTTCAAATCCTTTTCAATCAGTGTGTGAAGACACTGAGTTTTAGAGGAAGCCTAGTCACATGGGACAATAAAAAGCCAAGGACCAGCGTGCACATGGTAAGCAGCCTTAACGATCCACTGAGGGAAGTCTGAGAAACTGTTAAGTGCAAAAACCATCCCAAACAGCAGTTGTGTTCAAAACTCAAAACACACAGGGACCCCCGTTTCCAAAAGCGGTGTTCAGGAGTCACTGGAGCAATGAGGAGATGTGAAATAAAGCACACCTCTTATTCTGTAGCTACACATGACCCAGTGATACTGGATGATGTGCCTGAGGCTGGGGTAGGCAGCTACAGGTCATAGAATTAGCCACAGAACTTTGCTGCTGTGGTCTGGTAAAGTGACTTCCTCACAGTCTTGCTAAGAGGTAGATCAAATAGCATGACAGGAGTGGGAGGACTTCAGCGAGTGATTGGCTCAGTTGTCCCTCACCTCGTACCTGCCCACTCTTTCCACCAGCACAGGCTGACAGGATCCTGCCTGAAAGGTCACCTTTGCACTAAAGAGAAAGTGTGCACGTGTGGGCGGAGGCAACTCAAGCTCCAAGAATAGCAGTGACCCCCGCACTGCAAGGCCCACCCACCTACCCCATCACCCCAGCTCCCTCAGGCTTCCTGCCTTTGCCAAGAGTAGACCCCACGGGGGTGGTTCACAGGGGCTGTTCTGCGGGACACAGAGCCCAGACTTCATAAATGCTGAATCAGGAGAAGTCTCCCCCCCACCCCCAAGTCACTGCCAGGCCTTCCATGGTAATTCGCAGGATCTTCTCTGGAAAACAAAGTGAATTCTCTCATCCCCAAACTCAGTGGAGCTCTGCCTTCAGATACACACCGACATCCTCCCCTTCATTCTGAAAAGAGAATACAGGCAAACGGAAGTCACTAATTTTTTTAAAATCATGATTATTTTAAAGATTTATGCTTTCATTTTATTTCATTGGGTTTGAATATAAACTCTTCTGTAAAATTGAAATGTTTGTAAATTCCTAACAGAGGAAGTTTTCTTTTCAGTCAATGCACACACACCCCCACCCCCCCCCCACACACACACCTCTGAACACTTTTCAGAAAGCAAATAACACAATGCTCATTTGTTTTGGCATAGCTCATGATAAATAACATTTTGATGAGGCCTGCTGAGTGCTGAGGACATTTAAATATTCAGTCCTTCTTCATAATCTCACTACTGACCTCTAAATTTTCAGTTTGTTAAAACGTCTACGGTAGCTTGTGAGAAGGTCTGCTGAAAGAAATGGTGTGGACCTGGTGTGACCAAGGAGATGTCTGTGCAAGGACCTGGGGACACCACACAGACAGCCCACGTGCTACCACAGGGTCCTCGCAGTTGACATTATGGGCTGGATAATTCTCTGTCGCAGAGAAGCTGTCCTGGGCATTGCACGATGTGCAGAAGCATCCCTGCCCTCCACCCACGAGATGCTAGTTATCTCACGTACACACCCAGTCTTGACAACTACAAATGTCTCCAGACATCGCCAAATACCCCCAGGGGTGCGGTGGGGCCGCAGAATTGCGCCCACAGGAGAATTAGTGCTCCTTGGCCAAACGTTCCTTGAGTTTCTGGAAAATCTATAAAACAACTCAAATGATTTTCCTTGATACCAAGCAGTCCTTTCAAGGACGGAACTCACACATCGGCCCCTCTGCCAGCAGCCAGCTCATCGGTTTACCACAAAAATGTGCAAACAAGATTCACCGTTCTCACTGCCTACAGGTTTTTCCTCTTTTCTCTCACATAAATCTGGTCTTTGCCTCTGTTTCTCATTTAGTGTACTAGCTGACTCCTTCCCCTGTGAGAAAACAATACAAAATAACGAACTCAGGTCAAGATGTCTAAAGTAACTCAGACTGCCATTTTACATTTGTAAAGCAGATTTCTCCTCCTCATCCCCAGCGCCCCCAAACATCCATAAGGTGAAGTAGCTCCAAAACCAGGGAAGGCGGGAGGTGAGAGCTATTACAACAATTCCCTGACCCTCGAGGGCATCATGCCGCGTGAAATCAGTCAGACGGAGAAAGACAAATGTTGCATCAGCTCACATGTGGACTCTAGAAAAAGAGAACGGACTGGTTGTGGGGCAGCGGGTGGGGGGCTTGGGTGAAGGTGGTCAAAAGGCACAAACTTCCAGTTATAAAATATGTAAGTTCTGTGGATGTAACGTACAACACAAGGGCTAGAGGTACCATTGCTGTATGGTGCATTTGAAAGTTGCTAAGAGAGGCAATCCTGAAAGTTCTCATTACGTGGAGAAAAGAATTTTTAAGTCATTGCTCTTTTATTACCAACAACAGCCAAACGATGGAGAGAGTCCAAATGTCCATCGATGGATGAAGGGATAAAGCTGTGGTGTATGTACACACACACACACACACACACACACACACACACACACACAATGGAATAGTCAACCATAAAAAAGAATGAAATCTTGCCATTTGCAATGACATGGATGGAGCTAGAGTGCATCATGCCAAGTGAAACAAGTCTGTCGGAGAAAGACAAATACCATATGATCTCACTCATATGTGGAATTTAAGAAAAAAAAACAGATGAACATATGGGAAGGAGGGAGGAAAAAAAGGAGAGAGGGAAGCAAACCATAAGAGACTCTTAATGACAGAAAACAAACAGAGGGTTGATGGGGGGGGATGGGCTAATGGGTGATGGGTCTTCAGGAGGGCACTTGTGATAAGCACTGGGTGTTGTATGTAAGCGAGGAATCATTGAATTCTACTCCTGAAACCAATATTGACTGGTTAACTAACTAAAATTCAAATTAAAAAAAAAAAAAAGAATCATTGTTCTTTGAGAACTGGAACATTATCTCTGTAGGAAACCAGCTGCCCGGCTCACCACAAATGGCCCCGATGATCACAGGGGGTCATGGGGGGAGGGGAGGTTTAACCGTCAGGCTCACAGTGTCCATGAACATGGAAAACTGGCTGGGTCTCACTGGGCCCCTCCCAAGGGCCTCTACTTATCCCTGCCTGAGCTCGTCCCCTCCCTTGGCCTGCCCGCCTTTTTTCTAGGTCTCTCTTCTTCCTTCCTCACTCCCCAAATGGTCACTGTGTCCTCTTCCATTTGACTGATACTCATATTCCTGAAAATATCAAATGGCACAAATACTGCACCTGCATGTTCTAGAAAGTGGACATAGGGTCATAGAAACACCCTGTCCCCCACAGCCCAAATGTCTCAGAGGAACAGTACAAGCTCCCGCTTAGCTCCGCGCTGCATCCGTGGGGCCTGATGCAGAGGCTGGCCCTGGGCAAGTGTCTCCAAGGCCATCTGCTCAAGGTCTGCTCAAGGTCTTCTCAAGCTCTCCCCAGGCTCACAGGCCACTTGCCCTTTGCCCTACTCTGTACGGCCTTCCCAACCCAATCATCTCCTCAACTTTTTTTCACCATCCTCCTCTACCTTCCTCACCAACATTTGGAAGAAGCTGGTGACCACTGTACTACAGAGGGGGCTCAGAAAATCACGACCAGTCACAACACACAGCGGCCGCCACACACAGCTCAGGCAGGTGCACCTCCCCTCTCTCACCTCTTTACACAGGAGGGGTTCGAAGGGCTTGCTTGCTTTCTTTTCTTCTTTTTCTCTCTCTCCTTCCTTCCTTCCTCCCTCCCTCCCTCCCTTCCTTCTTCCATCCCTCCCTCCCTCTTTCCTTCCTTCCTTCCCTCCCTCCCTCTTTCCTTCCTTCCTTTCTTTTCTTTCTTCCTCAAATTCCTGTAGAGGGGGGTATAGCCTCTTCACTCTCCACATGTACGCCCTCTGTCTGGCCCACAGACGCAATTTATTCAGATGCTCTGTGAGGAAACTATTCATTCCCAGGGAGCCAAGATCTGACCTTCTGAATGTCATCCTTTCTATATGGGAAAAAAAAAGCTTTCAGAACTGCTTTATAACACTCTTTGCCTTCTTAGACAAGGATTGGCCTACTTTCACTTCCCATCATCAAGAAATAAGCATCATTATAATAAACACCCCTTCTCATACTATGTAGCAACAGGGGTGCTTTATAATCTCTCTGTTCTATCTTCTAATGCGAGGCTGGCTGGCACTGTGCCTGCTGCTAACGCATCTCCTGATTGGCCTTTTTCATTCATTCAACTACTATTTACTACTACTAGTGTGCGGAAAGTATTTCTGATGGATCGTGGGTGATGGACTATCAGAGATGGCCGGCATCGGGGCTAACAAGAGCCCATGCCTCGCCCGGAGAGGAATCAGAGTGGGGCATGGGACCAGAGGCCCGGCCGAAGTTCTCGTGCAGATGCAAGGGAGGCACCTCTCCAAGGCCTGTCACCGGGTTTTGTGCAAAGTCTTAAAAGTTCTCAGATTCTGACAAGTGGGGTGTCCTCCAGGCTCATTAAATCTTTTTTTTTTTAAGATTTTATTTCTTTATTCATGAGAAACAGAGAGAGAGAGAGAGAGAGAGAGAGGGGCAGAGGGAGAAGCAGGCTTCCCGCCGAGCAGGGAGCCTGACGCGGGACTCGATCCCAGGACCCTGGGATCATGACCCGAGCCGACAGCAGACACCCAACCATCTGAGCCACCCAGGCGCCCACCTCCAGGCTCATTAAATAACATGCCAGTTTTCTCATCGCACTCTTGGTTTCAAAAGTAGGTAAGTGAGTGTATTATACTCACAGACTGTTTTGCCTCTCTATTAATGTAACAGGCAAAGTGGCCTTCAAGGGAAAAAGAGATAGGTTCCCCATGTTGGGATCATTATTAGTTTCAAATTCAGTACTTGCTTCTCTTATGAAACCGCGGCCTTTCCACGGAGCTTACTAATAATATTGCAAAGTGGGATACGGGGCTTCAAATGCGGGTGAACGACAACAAGGAAACAATTTAATTGTTTTATCCCAAATACTCTGTCTGCTCGGGGAAGGCAGGGACCAACCTCCACGGAGCGCGAACATCACCAGCGCAGAAATCAGACCCCAAGCAGCTGCCCTCAGTCTGGCTCACCACAACTCTGCCTTCCTGACTTCCTCCACTTACCGTAGAGCAAGAGGGACGCTGGATCCAGTCCCAAGGTCTCACAGCCAGGCACTCCCCGATCATGCAGATTCTGTAGCAACACGCCGTGCACCAACTCCTTACTCATCCTGTACTTCATAAAGCCGTCACCTTCTGAAGGAACCCCAAATTGCAGGTGGTAGGCTATTGTGGCATTTTCATTGCTGAAAGACACACCAAACCGAGACAGCAACACGTATCAACAGAATCCCACTGCAACTCAGGAAATTGGCTTTAGCGGGACCATATTTATAGTTCCTCACGTTCTTCCAGGACAAAATAGCAAAGGGCACACTGTTCTAGAAGAACCCTCTTCTGTAGTTTCCTCACAAAAAGTTGAGGTGACCCTAACCTCTTCCTGGCACCTAAAGCCCATCCTCTAGGAGATCACTGGAAGAGGCCACTGAAGGGAGAGTCATGACCCAGCTATTGTCAGGGAAGACCCAAGGCTGGCCCACCGTAGGCTCCAATGCCAGCCTTTTATCCCCTGGGGCAGGGAAGCCACGTACTCCTCTTGTATTCCCTGCTCCACGTTCCCACACTCCATCCACCCTCTCCTTGCCCCGACAAGCTACTGGGTTCAACCAGTTCATTCCTTGACCTATAAAATATTTAAGGTAGGACGCAGAGCTCCCTGCAACCCGCTCGTTGCAGAACTCCTGAACTCCCACACACAGCCCCGTGTAGCACCACGAACCGCACCCCCCATTTGTCTCTAGGCTGAGAAACCTGTTCTGTCCCATTTCCACCTCCTGAGGCTCCCAGCTTTGCAACTCACAGTAAAGACACCTAAGGAAAAGGAGTTTTCATCTTCCCAGCACATATTTTTCCATTTCCAAAATGAAAATAATCATAGGGCTATCCTCAGTTCATTAGTAGCTTATACTGCTCCTTAAATGCTAGCTCAGCATTTAGGTGTTTCAAAGCTATCCTGTTACTTTGGTTCAAGAAGGCCCAGATCAAGAGCCAGTAATAAAATAATTAAGAGGTGGCCACATGTGAGACCCTGCTCTGCAGTGTTTTTTTACAGACTGGACACACTTCCAGGAGCCAGACTCAGACCGCTGTCCCTGCTAAGGACAGGAAACGAGCTCCCTCTTGTGGCCAGAGGTCACATAGGCCAAGATTCTTGCATTAATGTGGCCGTTTATGAACTCTGCGACAGCCAAGCCCTGTGCCAAACCCTGCCATGCAAATGAGCAATATACCATCAAGACTCTGGAGAAACTCTCTCGGGTTATGGATGCTGCTACAGAAAATGGCTAGAAAATGCACATTCACACTTTTAGCCGGCCACCCAAGTTTGCAGGTGTCCTTCTTTGTCCCCTGTGCTCCACCTTCCAATTATGGCTATCCACGGTCAATGTCTAGACGCGCAGCCACCCTGCACTCCCACAGGTGGGCAAAGGCTCAGGCTGGCTTTGCCAATGACCAGAAGCTGACTTCTGGATGGTGAGAGGGTTGCCCTGCCTAACTCAGTCCCACTAGTTCAACCTAGTCCCACCGTGTCCAGTCACCCACCGGGGGAGTTTACCTTATGGCTAGATTTTGAGGGGGAAAGGAGGGATTTTCAGGAAAACAGAGAGCCTGCGCGCTTTGCCTCCACTGCCCACCATTAGAGTGGGCCCGGGAGGTGATAAACCAATGGGCATTTTCTTAGGTTCCTGCAGGGGCATGGCCGGGGCAGGACCGAGGTCAGTATCCCCTGGAGACACAAACCCAGCTGTCAGGGGTCTGGCTGTCTCCTGCCCACTAGCGGCGGCACATTTTGGGGGGCAATGGCTTTTGTTTCTCAACTCAACATTGTTAAAACTCTGCCTGCACCTCTTTCTTTCTTTCTTTTTTCTTTCTTTTCTTTCTCTCTCTCTCTCTCTCTCTTTCTTTCTTAAGATTTTATTTATTTATTTGACAGAGAGAGACATAGCAAGAGGGGCAACGCAAGCAGGGGGAGTGAGGGAGGGAGAAGCAGGCTTCCCACGGAGCAGGGAGCCCGAGGTGGGGCTCAATCCCAGGACCCGGGGATCATGACCTGAGCCGAAGGCCGCTGCTTAACTGACTGAGCCACCCAGGTGCCCCTCAAATAACTTTTAAAAACAAATTCTCTAACATCAAGTCTTGAAATTTCTAGCCATGCTTGACTCAACTTTCTGATGTTTTTTTCCCCAAGGTCGACCCCAACCCATTATGCAATCCCACCTCCTCTAGACCCATAATCTGGGGCTGGATTCTTGGAAAGACCCTTCCGATTGAATGCCTTCCCTTTCTCAGCTGTCTTGAAATTGCAAGTTGGGGCAAGTACATGGAGGAAAATGTGTTGGGCTTTTTTCTATTGGCATTTTAATACCAGTAATTTGTGATTAAAATGAGCAATGTCAGAGAGGTCACCATAAGGTAACATGCACAGTGGGGGGGTCCATAAAGAAGGAGGAAGAGTGTCGTTGCCAAGGCAACCCACCACTGGAGGCAGTTTCAGACGTCAGGTCCCTTTTGGTCCCATCCCGCTGTGCTACCACGTGCTTTACATGCTTCCTCTCTCAGATGTACGAAGATTATGGTCTGGGAAATGTATAGCTGGAGAGGGGGATTTCAGCACAATACTATCTGTGATGGTCACGGTCCAGAGCTATCTTAGGAATAGTGGATAATACAGCTTTGTCACCTAAATCTTGTCCTAGCAATACAAAAAGAGAGTCACATGTACACCTCTTATCTAAGTTCTGTAAATGGAGACAAATATATTTAAGATTAAGAAATGTAAAAAGAAAAACTGTATGTGTATGTATAGGCTATCCATGTTTAGTACATAAAGTATATGTGGTAAGTACACAGATAGAAGAAATCATACCAAACCGTGGATGGCAGTCCATTCAGTAGAAGGGAGGAAATACACTATGTGTATGGAATCGACTGGAACATGCAATATCCAAGGGTAGTAGGCTGGGGTGGAAGGGCGAAGGTAGACTTTTCCTGTATTACATGTCTTTATATTTTTAATATTATACAAGGAGCATGAACTCTTATATTAATTATGTTCCTCAAAAGCAAAAGCTAGTATACGGATTATATCATTTACAGCACATCACTATCTGAGATCTGGTTTTTTCTTTTTAAGTAGCCTCCATGTCCAGCGTGGAGCCCAGTGTGGGACTTGAATTCACGACCCTGAGATCAAGATAATGGAGACGTGAGCTGAGATGAAGAGTCCGACGCCTAACTGACAGAGCCACGCGGCCACCCTCTGAGATCCATTTCTAGTCCTACCCCTAGCTTATTTTGAGCATCTGCTGTTAAACAGGAATGGTTTACCTGGGACTGGTTTTTCCTCTCTTCTGTGTGACCTTGTTGAGGCATATAATTAATCTGGGCTTCACTTTGCTCCTTTGTGAAATCATGGAGTTGAGCTAGTGGGTGTCCAAAGACCCTTCCAAGCCAACAGTCTATGATTCTATCTATCATCGGTTCCCTTTGTCCTTTGAGACTCAAAGGTCCTTCTAGATAAATGGTGATGGGTGTCGCCTCCCAGAGAAAGAGACCAACGTGGAACGTTCCACATTCTTACCTGAAGTCCATCATTTCCACTGAAGTAAAATAACGACTCAGTGACGGGGATGAAGTGTACACATCTGTGAGCTAAAACAAATAGGAACAAATTAAACAACCACGCGCATTACAGATGGATCATATTGTGTATCACCTGACAAAGCAAAACTACTAGTAGACAGAAATTCCATGCTAGCTCGGAATTCACTTATCCAGAGGCTCTGGATTGAGAAATAGGAAGGTGTGGACCCCACCTACCCAAACCCAAACTCAACACTCATTTAAAAGAACCTCATTTCTAAGGAGCAGGTGACCAGGCTGGGATTTTCAACATCTCTCACATGTTGTGTGGACACCTGAGTCCTTCATGGTGAGCATGATCAGCAGCCGGAGCCCCCACGGACCCCGAGGACCTATGGGAAGGAGACGACACTGAAGCGGCTGGGAAGGCGGCAGAAGAGGCCACTCAGGACCCAGCACATCACCAGACAAGGGCTTGTTCTCTCCTTTCTGCGGAGCTTCACTGTAAGGAGACACGGCCGTGGAAGCCCCAGGTGTGGCACTTTCCCCTGGATGAAGGGACCGAGTGGGGCTGGTGTGTAATTGCAGAGTTCTTATTTCATGCATCAAAGACTGCAATCACACACCAAAAATGACAGCTGTGTGCTCACTACCCAGGTTTCACAGCTACACATTTTAGTTCAGCCCTTCACTCGAACAAACAAAACAAAGCTAAATCTACTCCTACACACTATTTTTCCTCCCTCCTGCCCCCAGCACTAACCATTGTCCTGAAGTTGGCATGTATCCTTTTCATGCAGGTTTTTATAAATGTAATACTTCCTTGTATAATCATAACAACTCATAATTACTTTGTTTTTATTCAAATAAAAGGTGGCATATTCCACACAGTCTTCTGTGACTTATTTTTTTTTCATCCAAAATTGCATTTGATATTTACCCCATAATGGTACATCGAGATGGAGGTCATTTAAGCTGACTTCTAACTCCTGCAGAGATCCGATTAAATGACTACACCAACTTTTCCATTGCCCCATGCTGGTGACGTGCAGCGTTTGCAATTTTCCCTTATCACAAACTGCCCAAGGAATCTTCCTGGAACATTTCGGTGCCTCTCTTCTGATACATGTAAAAGTTTCCCCTGAGTATGTGCAGAGAAATGGAATTGCTGGGTCCAAGAGTGGGTGCATCTCCAACCCACCTAAATCCTGCCAAATTGCTCTCCATCTCAGCACTTGGCAGTGTTCCATTTCCCACAGCCTTGCTGTCACTTCCTGTTACCAGAGTTTTAAAAAAAATTATTGCCAAACTAAGGGGTATAAAATTGCTTACATTGTTTCAATTTGCATTATTACAAGTAGGGTTGAGTATCTTTTCACATGTGTTTATGAACTCCTTTAGGATTTTGCACCTTTGATGTGCCTCTTGGTTTCCTGTCTTTCTCTTGAGTTGTCTATTTCTTGGCTGTATCTCTAACTTTTGTATCTGAGGTGTCGGGTGTTATACTCTGGACACTAGCTGCTTTTTTTTTAATTTTTTTTAAGATTTTATTTATTTGACAGAGAGAGATACAGTGAGAGAGAGCACAAGCAGGGGGAGTGGGAGAGGGAGAAGCAGGCTTCCTGCTGAGCAGGGACCCCGGATGCGGGGCTCGATCCCAGGACCCTGGGATCATGACCTGAGCCAAAGGCAGATGCTTAACGACTGAGCCACCCAGGTGCCCCGACACTAGCTGCTTTTACATTACCATTATCTTCTCCTTGTATTTGATTAACCTTTTCATCATGTTTCAGAGATGGGAATCCTAGCCTAGTAGGGCTTGAGGATGGGTAGCTGAATGTACTTACATTGCACTTTTGTGAAATTGGCATTTGAAGGTTAAATGCCTTGCCCTTTTGCAGACAGCTTCTAGCATAAATCGGGAGGACTGCCTGGATCTGGCTGCGCTCTCTACCCTGGACCGAGCTCTAGGGCTGGAGGGAGCCCACCATCAGGCCTATTCCTGTCTAGCCTGAAGTCAGCCTTGAAGTGTTTTTGGAAGGCTGAGTGGCATCCAGTGGCAGCTTGGTGCTGAGGTGAGTGGCCCAGCTGCACCCATGATGGCTCAGTGCCTCCTCACCTCACCCAGTAGCAAGCAGCAGACACACCCTAAAGAGCAGTGCCCGGAGGGTAGCTCAGCTCATTTTGTCTCCCACCCAGTTCCGAACAGAATCTCAAGGAGCCTACATTTCTACAATACGCTCCCACTTAATTCACCTGGTGACAATTCAGTCCCTTCAAGGTGGAGCAGAGGGGATCAGAGTACCTACAGTGTGTACGATTCCAATCTTGTATCTCTTTTCTGAGCTTTATAAGAACCTGACATAAGCGGCATTACCACCCTTCCCTTCTTACTAATAGAGAAAACAGCACGCGGAAAGGGTATGAAACCTGCCTGAGGTCGCTCTGCTCATAAGGAATGCAGTCCTAGGGGTGACAGACACTAAAACCCACTTTCTTTACATTTGAGGATGAAGCAAGAAAGTGTCCTGAATAGCAAAGAGGAAAGAAGCATAAGGTGATAAGAACCTTGGAGGAAAATGAGTCATCTTATAGTTTTTGAGCCCCCGAGAAAGAATGCTGCCAGAGGCCAATGCAGGAATAAAAAAGTGGCTCTCACAGGGCTGCTCTGAACAATAAGGAGGAGGACGATGTTATGGACGGGGTTTTATTTTTCCAAGCACTTCCTTACATACACACACAAACACGCGCACGCGCGCATGCATGCATACACACGTACACACATAGGCACACACATACACATGCATGCACACAGGTACACAAACATGCGTACACATGTGCACACATGCGCGCGCACATGCGTATGCACATGCACGCACACCCACACCCACACACATGCGCGCACATGCACGCACACCCATACACACACATACATGTGTACACACATACATACACATACACACATACGCACATAAACAAACATGTTATGGCACGGATGGTGTCTTTCCAACCCTCTCTGTTCCCGCTCTCCTCTCCTTCCCTTTTTTTTTTAATATTTTATTTATTTATTTGACATAGAGAGAGAGAGAACAAGTAGGCAGAGAGGCAGGCAGAGGGAGAGGGAGAAGCAGGCTGCCCGCTGAGCGGGGAGCCCGATGCGGGACTCGATCCCAGGACCCCGGGATCATGACCTGAGCCGAAGGCAGCCGCTTAACCGGCTGAGCCACCCAGGCACCCTCCTCTCCTTCCTTTTTAATCCTTAGGGCCTAGTATTCTTTGGCACAGAGTCGTCTCTCAGAAAAAAAAAACTAAGCTAAAATTTTCCATTAAGAGCTGGAACGGTGTACCAGATCACCTTTAGTGTCCACTCTGATTCTTTTTGGTGACACGGCCCCCTGATGTCGTTGGGACATGTCCACAAATCTGGGAGCAGTTAACCGCACTACTATGGGCCCAAAGAAGTGAAATTGGGGGCTTCTCACCCCTGGCCCTGGAGTCTCACACTGTGCCTATGAAGCTGGGTGCACGCTGAGCTTGGCACCCGGTGAGCTGACTCCCGGGGTTGGGCAGAGCCGCTAATTCGAGACAGGGAGGTATGTTCCGTGTTAGCAGACCTGCCGTTGTTAACGCCTGCATCAGGGACACGGGCCAGGGTAACACAACACGCAGCTAACCGGCTGGCCGAAGCAGAGCGAAGGCCCCAGCGGGAAGAGAAGAAAATTCTGGCAGTGGGATAAGAGAGGGGCTAGGAAAACTGTTTAGAAAAGCAAGACAATAAAGCAAAAGCGAGGACGTGGTGTTTCACTCTCCACTCCCATTTGCCTTCCATATCTGGAAACTTCTAGAAGTTGGCCTGAGTGAATGAAAGAAAGGGGCTCTTGACCTGACAGTAAGACTAATACCTCTAAGGTCTCAGTTTTGTTCCTGAACATACTTGGTTGGGACACCAGGGGGCAGTAGCTTTTTCACCTTGCTGTGCCTTAACTTTTATCATGTAAACCAGACCATTCTTAAAAAAAAAAAAAAGTGTTTTACAGAGTTCTTTATATGCATCTCATGTGCACCTGTGGGTATACAGTAAAAGTATAGCAATTCCCACTTATCAGGGAAGGAACCAACTCGAACAGGCCTGTGCACTTGCCCCGGGGATCATGCCAGTCCCTGCCCCTTTGCCACTACATAGCAATGAGATAAACATACCTGCAGGATCTGCTCATGTCTGGCTCTGTGCAAGAGATAAGGCTCTGAGGTGAATGATTAACATCCACTTCCCTTTGACATAAAGAATTCGATCTGTAACATGTGACATGTGTGGATGCTGCATCATCTCATTTCTGCTCAGCAAATGCGAAACCCCTTGACAAATAAAACAATCAAGAGGAAAAAGGCAAGAGGCTATTCACTCAGCAACTTGCTCTGGAAGCAGGTGAAAGAAAAAGAGGAAAAGGGGCTTGCAGGTAAGATTTAAACAAGGAAAAGAAGGAGGAAGAGAAGCCCAGATAATCATCCCAGAGCACAAACCCCTGTGGCCCGAAAGAGCAATCAAATAACATGCCCTTGGGTGCCCAGAAATTAACTCCGGGGTGACCGAGATGGAATCGCCTCCTGGGAAAGCTTTCGTAGGAATCAGATGGAAACCAAATGAAGGTGACTCACCCCGTTCCACCTATCAACTGCAGAGAAGGGTGTAATGGATGGCAGGCTGGTCTTGCTTCTCTCTTATCAAATACTTCTCTGGATCTGGCTGTGAACCCAACCAGCCCTCATGGTGACGCTGCATGCCCTCTTCGTGCCCAAAGGACATTCTCCTGCATTTCCTGCTCCAAGAACAAAGCCACCATCCACCCACTCGGCCACCCAACCAGGAGCCTGGAGTCGTATTCTCCCTCATCCCCACAGCCAATTAGCCATAAAGTCCCGTCGAGTGAGAAGACCTCTTAAATCTCTCTCGAATCTTCCTTACCCCCCCTGCCACTGCCCCGGGTCAAGGCCTCCACATCTATCAACGGGACTACTGCAGTACCTTCTAACTGAGCTCTCAGCTTCCAGTGTTTCTCCACCACCACTCTCAAGGACTAACATGAAAAGTTGACCAAGTCAACAAGATGAAAACGTTTCAGTGCCTTACCAAAGAGTAGGAAAACCTTCATGCCTCACCCCTGCAAGTCCCCACCGCACGGTCCACAAGAGGCAGCAGGACACTGTGGGGCAGATCCCCTAGTATTATCTAGAACACTCCTACCTCATATTTCAAGACTCACCCTGAGCATCACCTCCTGAAAGAGGCCCTCCAAGCTTCCATCTGCACCTTCAGGTAGTTTAGATGACCCTCCCTCGTGCTTGCAAAATATTCTGTATGCATCTCCCCAATAGAACATACCACACTGTTTAGAACTATCTATTTAACTGCTTCCTCTACTTGCACTGAGCCCCCACTGAGGGCCCAAACTCTGTGACCGTGGCTCTCAGCACGCTGTCTAGCACATCACAGGTCCCCCATGACATGAGAGGTTGAATCAAACGTAAGACTAGAGTGAGGAGACGGAGCACTATCCTCCAGGATGCATTTCACTGGAGGGCAGGGCTCCTCTCTCAGGCTTTGCACTATAGAAAATTCTAAGCAGGGCGCCTGGGTGGCTCAGTCGTTGGGCGTCTGCCTTCAGCTCAGGTCATGATCCCAGGGTCCTGGGATCGAGTCCTGCATCGGGCTCCCTGCTTGCGAGAAGCCTACTTCTCCCTCTCCCACTCCCCCTGCTTGTGTTACCTCTCTCGCTGTCTCTCTCTCTCTCTGTTGAAAAATAAGTAAAATCTTTAAAAAAATAAAAAAATAAAAAAATAAATTTAAGAAAAAAAAAAAAAGAAAATTCTGAGCATCAGTGTCTGCCTAAATCCAGACAAAGAATCCAAGCCTGAAGCTACTTACGTGATTGCTCTATGCCAACTCCTCGAAGAACCCACATTCTAATGTTAAGAACTCTGTAAACAATGCTTAAGATATAATTACCCTTTTCATGAGCAGGTGAGGCAACGCCTCCTCAGTAGCACACTCCTCTGGAATCTTTAGCATGACCAAGAATGTTTTATTTGATGATAACTCAAGTATTTCATTTGCATCTTCATCGATGTAAGTTACTAAAGGGGGGGATAAAAAGTAAAAGTAAACACATGCTTAGAATAATAATTTGTTCCACTGGCTGCTATAAAAGACAAGGAGCATTCATCAAGGATAAAGCCTAGACACAGTAAGCAAGTACAAGCAGAAATGCTTTGTCTTCCTGGCGATACCAAATAAAGACAGGGGCTGGCCTCCATTATGATAAAAAATTGTTTGTTTTACACCATAAGAGCTCCCAGATGCCACTGAATACAAACTGGGGGAAAAGCCAGTGGGAGGGTGCGGGAAGAATATGAATTTCTTGGTTGAACGGGACCTGCAGCTTTAGCTATGTCCACAGGCGTCGAGGCAGGTGTTGGGCGAGCGTCTAGGGGGTGAACCATGGGTAATGGGGGCCAGGGGTTGGGAGCAAGGAACTTGAGTGAATCACCTCAGTCCCGGGCTGTCAGAGACCCTGATGAGGAAGGGACATCATGGACCAGAACAGAGTGGGGACTAGACATGAGCACGTGAGCCATGTCCTGACATCTCCCAGGAAGACAGAAGATGGGCAGGAAGCCTCCACTCTGCAGTCTGTCCCACAGGAGAGAAATGCTGACACACTTTTTTTTTTTTTACACACTCTACAGAAGGGAAACCAAACTGCACTCAGAGCCCCAGGGCCCAAGGGCCTTGCATTCCTGGCACAGTGAGCTCTGCGCGGCTGTTAGTGCTCTAAGGATGGTGAGCTAACTGATTTTTAAGCAGTTACAGCCAAAGGGAAAACACACAAGGTCGGGGGCCCGGCGCTGGAAGCTGGCACTCCAAGTCAAAACTGCTCGCCCGGCTCCCCGGCGGCCTCCCCACTGGGCCTGCACAGGAACCACAGCTCGGGCCCTGAGAAAGGCGTGGGTGGCGGAACCGGGCGCTCACCTTGCCCTACACTTGACTCTCAGATCTCATGCTTCAGACGGAACATAAGCAGCCTCTTTGGCTGGACTTTGAAAAGGCCCTCAGTGTATGAGAGAAAGGCAGGTGAAAAGAATCCTGATACGAACTCCCTGGGAGGCACGAGGAGCAAGGGGACGTGCAGAACAGAGTTCTCAGAGCCTGAGATGAGCGGCTCCGAGCGGCTGGCTCAAGGCTGGCCCATGTCTGGCCTCTGCGAACCTGGATCTGGGGAGGGTTCCCACCTCGCCCTCCCAGTTAGTACCCCCTGTTGATACAAGCAATGTGGCTGATACTGACCACCTTGCCTTCCGGGGATCTGGAATTTTAGCATGTGCCAGGCTGAGGCTGCCTCCACGACCGGCCCCAGTAAAACCCTGGGCACTGAGCCTCTGAGCTTCCCCAGGACACAACACTTCTCACGTGGTGTGTTGTCACATCTCATTGCTGCGGCAGTTGAGTGTGTCCTCAAGTTTGTGCCTGGTTTCCTACTGGATTTTGCTTTATTTCATTTTGCTATGATACATCACAAGTGATGTGATCTGACATGGGGCCTGGGTGCAATTGGTCAAGAAAGAATTCTTGATACATCGTTTTCGGTGCAAAAAGGGTGTTTTATTAAAGCACAGTGACAGGACCCATGGGTAGAAAGAGCCTCACGGGGGTTGTGAGGAACAACTGGTTAGATACTTTCAAGTTGGGAGGGGTAGAGACAAAGGAAGTTTCCAAAAGGATTTCCATATGTTAAAGAGGACTTAGGGGTTCCTGGAAGCCTAGCTATTGTCAAGCTTAGGGTTTTTTTTTTTTTTTTCTTCTAGAAAGGCATTAACTTAAAGACAGTTGGGAGTTCCTGGAGGAATGTGCTACTCTCCCTGAGTCAAGTATTTGTCGACCGGCTGCAAGTTTTAAGGAATTTTATCTACATTTCCTTTTGCCTTTGTTCCCCACATCAATAATCATCTCTTTGCCTATATGCTGAGTCCCATGAATTCTCCCAGCAAATCACTAGATCTAGGAGTGATCCTGAGGATCCCAAACACAGGGAATTATCCCCCCACACCCTTACTTGCTGTAAGTCCTGACATTATTTTGTCTGACAATAAAGTTAAGTCTTCGTAGCTGAAAACTTGCCAAGTACAGGAAATTGTAATAAAACGAGAAAAAAAATACAATAACTCTTTAATCAACAAGTTTTCCCTCACATTTTATGTTATATATTTTAAGTCTTGGGGCGCCTGGGTGACTCAATTGGGTAAGTGTCTGCTTTCTGCTCAGGTCATGATCCCAGGATCCTGGAACCAATGGCTTAGAAGAGAGCAGGAGGCAAGATCCAAACGCAGACCTCCGTTTCCAGAAGTTTGCCAGTGAAAAAAGAGAAAGAGAAAAAAATTCCTAAAATGAAGTAGCAAGATTCTGATGGAAGAAGGTTTTGAAGGACAGACAACGTTAGCACATTTTAAGAGGCCCAAGTTGAGAAGAGCCTGAGGATGCTTGGCGAGACACGGAGATATCTGAAGGTCCATGGGTCAGGAGGAGCTGGGGAGGATCCTATGGAGAGCATAGGTGAAGAGGCTGGTCCTGGGAAGGTAGAGAAACAGGGGAAAACACAAAGAAATTTCAAGGAACAGGGCCTATGGATTTGCTACTAAGTTCCTGCCCCCAAGGACCTTGCTAGTTTATAACTTACTAATGCTGTCTGCCGAGGATTTTCCCATGAGTCACCCTACACTGGGGAGCACTGCCTTGTGCAACCTGTCTGCCTACCAACAGGTTGTGACAGCATAAACTGCGGCTCTTACACCCAACGCAAAGACAAAACAATCCATTCAACACGCGGCGCTTGTGAAGTCCCTGCTTACATCTCAGCACCACAGCACTCCTACTCAGGGAAAAACTTGTATGGAAGGACAGTAAAGAAGTCAGGCTTTCCCCACCCATAATACTGGGGAATATCACATAAGAGTCCCTAGGGTGTTAAATCTGATCACCTTTAAACTATATCTCTAAGTATCCACCTACTTGTCACAGTTTGGCTTATACAATATTCAAAATTCTTTGCCCACTCCAACGAGAGTTTCATTTGTAGGGTGTTACTCAGGTGTCTCCCCTCCCTGGCTGGGGCAACTCAGTGAAAAAAGCAGAACCCCTGAAGATGCTTAACTGGTCTTCTAAATTGGCCAGAAAGAAGATGACTTGGGGGGGGGGAGGCTTTTTCCCCCCTTTTATCATTTATTTACATCAAGGAATTTATACTTCTTTAGGGAGAAGAAGAGAATCCATCATTATCTTTTCCCTGAAGAGTGGAGACAAAACCAAGCCTCCAGACTCAACAGGATTCCCTGGGCTCTGCTCCCCAAATTGGCCACTTTAAGAAGATTTCATTGTCTACCAGAGCATCTCCTGCACAGGGCATATGTAGCCCCAGCTCAATGCCTTACGCTGAGCCATGACCCTGAAGTTGTCATCACTTCAATGGCATGTCAAGGGCAAAGTGGCAGGAGACTCGCCCCAGATGCAGGCAATAAAGGGTATAGAGTCTGTAGAAAATTAACAATAATAAAACAGACCACAGTTGACAGTAATTCTTAACAATGTCAGTGACAAGGTAGACCTCTGCACTGAACACCTCACCCTGGGTACCCCACTGTCCCCTCCTCAACCCCTTCTATGTCGGTACCTGTTTATTGTCCACTTCTGTGTGCACTCCAGCTCCACAGTTATTAAACGTCTCTGCCTCTGAGCCTCAGTCTGCATGCTACAGAGCCCGGTGACAGGAGACTGCGGAGCTGGAGGGCAGGAAGAAGGAGGCAAAGGTAGCTCCCAAGGAACCTCACTTCTTAGCAAAGCCAGCCATACGTGTAGCCCTTGGCTCTGCCAATACTGTGCTTTTCCAGACAGCAGAGTTTTCCCCACAGTGCTCAGAAGTTCTATGAGTTCGATTCCTAACTCTGGGGCTTGGCCATGAGGCAATGGCCAATTACTGTATACGGTCATCCCAGAAGTACCTACAGAGCTGCTCTGGGCGAGGCTGGGACTGTCAAGGAGGAAAGGAGGAGAGCCCTGGCCCCGCCCCTTTTACCCATGGCATTCCCCTTCCCCCACCATCCCACACCATGACTCTCCCTAAAGGCCCAAACCCCTGAGGGCTGAGGTGCCAAGTGAAGTAAAAGTATCTCTCGGATTAAAAAAAATGTGAAAGTGGGCAAATCTCTTTATAGCATTAACATTTGAAAATACACTTTTATAACCACATTGAGAATGAAGTTTGCACTACAAATGTTACAGAGCTCTTCCCTGAATATTATCCAGTGAACTCTCATGTCCCTTGGGAAATGATGGAAGGAAAAGAAATTCCTTCCTCTGCAGATTGCCATTGGGCAGTTGAAGAGGTCCGATGATTTTTGGGAATGGAAAACAGCTCTTGGGTCTTGTGCTTTAGAAACCTGAATATTAAACCAACTGGATCTGCTGCATCCTCCTTTGTTATAGGCCCCAGAGGCCAACAGACAAATTAGCCAATGTTCAGGATAGCACCACCTAATTGTGATGGGACAAGGTTGCACAGCTCAACTTCAGTTTCGACATCCATGTATGGGAGTCCGATGGGAAGAGAGAGTAGGAAGGCTCACACCAAAACTCTTGTCCTCAGCAGGTCAGAGGAGTTATAGTACCTCTTATCAACTTCTCCTTAACTCGAAACCAGCCTGTGGCCTCAAAAGATCACCATCCCACCTCAACTATGCCCTAAGTAATTAAGCAAACATGGTGTCATCAAATTTCCCTATTCCTTCAGGGACTTTAACACCTTGAGACAGGAGAGGAAGAAAAGGAATAGGAAGTAAAGGGCAAATGTAGTTCCTGAAGAAAATTCCCAGGACCCCTTCTGGAGAGACTCAGAGGTTCCTCATCCAAGATTGGGTTTATTAAGAAGAATCCAACTCAACTCAAATCCTTGTGGAGACCAGATCACCCTCAAGAGTATCCCAACTCCAGAAAAGCGCCCCCCATCCCTGCAATCACCCCCACTTACAAATAAAAACAATTTTCTTCTTTCTTGTTTTAAAAATGGAAATGACTGCCCCCTGGAGGGTGCTATATTTATTCATCATGGAAACCTTAATATCAATAATCATAAAAAATTAGCAACTACCTAAAAAAGCTTTAAAATTGTATGGAAGACTATATCATGCAGTCATTTAAAAAAAAAGTGTTCACAAATAATTTTTAGTGAATTGGCAAAATGGCCTCAATATAGCATTAAAAATCCTAAAGGTAGGCCCCAAGATGATTAAAAAACAATCTTATTGGGGCACCTGGGTGGCTCAGTCAGTTAAGCATCTGACTCTTAATTTCGACTCAGGTCATGATCTTAGGTGGTGAGATCGAGCACCATGAAGGGCTCCACACCTGGCTCAGTGGGTTAAGTGTCTGCCTTCGGCTCAGGTCATGATCCCAGGGTTCTGGGATCAAGTCCTGCATCGGGCTCCCTGCTCAGGAGAGAGCCTGCTGCTCTCTCTCTGACAAATAAATGAAAAAAATTAAAAAAAAAAAAATTAGGAGTCTCTCTCTACCTCTCCCTCGGCTCCTCCGCCCACCCCACCAGGGCTCACACTTGCGCTCTCTTTCTAAAAAAAAAAAATAAGTAAGTAAATTAAATAAATAAATAACAATCTGATCTCAAATTATTTTAAAAATGCAAGTAAGAAAAAAATGCAAGTAAGAAAAAGAATATAGTAAATATTAATAATATGAATAGGTTTTATGGGTAACTGAACATGTATTATTTTCATATTCATAATAAATAAAAAATAAAGGGTGCCTGGGTGGCTCAGTCGGTTAAGCATCTGCTCAGGTCATGATCCCGGGGTCCTGGAATCCAGCTCTGCATCAGGCTCCCTGTTTCGCAGGGAGCCTGCTTCTCCCTCTCCCTCTGCTGTTCCCTCTATTTGTGCTCTCTTTCTCTCTCTCTCTCAAATAAATAAATAAAATCTTTTAAAAAATTTTAATTTTAAAAAATAAATAAATAATAAATAAAATAATATATGTAGAGTATATAGTTAGCACCGTGTAACTTTTTGTTTTGTAAACACATACAACACAAATATAATAAAGTTATTTCCAAAATAGTTAATGACAGCATATAGACACATGGTTCTATAAAGTTAAGATGTTTTCAAATGGGTTGTTCATTATTTATCATTCTAATAATGTACTAGGTATATCAGAGGAAGTACAATAATTATTTTATGAAACAAATGAAAAAAATTTCAAATAAGTAGGTGTAGAGAAACAATAAAAGATAAATTAATGTTTAAGTAAGTTAAAACTTAAAAAATCTTCAAGATCCGGTGGGCAGAGTTTAAAGTAAAACATTGGTCTCCATACTTCTTTCAGAGCTTATTAAATAAACAAAAAAATGAAATAAAACAAAGAGCCATGGATAGCTACCACCCATACAACAATCCCAAGCCAGTTTTAAATTCATATTATAAATAATGAAATAGCAATGAGCACATCTTCCATATCAATGTAACTCATAAATGAACATTAAATAAGTTCTTAAAACACATCAGCTTAGTCCTGTTTAAATCCTCTTACCTCCAATAAGACATAAGCTTATGATGATGACTACAATGAGACCTAGGAAAACAGAGGCGATGACCATCCACAGTTTGCACTTTCCAATCAATTTCTTATTACAGGAGCTCCAAGGGTTCTCCTTGTTCACCTGGAAAGCAGAGGGACACTGAGGCAGTCACTGGTTTCAAGAAGCACTTCTGAATGCTTGTGAAGGGCCAGTGATACAGAAATGAAGGCAGCAGGATCCTGCCCTCTCGAGGCTATACTCCATGGAGTCAGGTTTGCAAAGAAGCAGAATGGAACCTCACACAGAAGGCGGGGGGGCGCCTGGGTGGCTCAGGCAGTCAGCTCAGGTCATGATCCCAGAGTCCTAGGATTGAGCCCTGCTCAGGTTCCTTGATCAGCAGGGAGTCTGCTTCTCCCTCTGCCTGCCTTCAGCTCAGGTCATGATCCCGGGGTCCTGGGATCGAGTCCCACATCGGGCTCCCTGCCTGCTTCTCCCGCTCCCTCTGCCTGCTGCTCACCCTGCTGTGCTCTCTCTCTCTCTCTCTCTCACTATCTCTCTCTGTGTCAAATAAATAAATAAGATCTTCAGAAAAAAGTAAGGGAGAAAATACCCTGGGGGCTTTGAGGTGAAGTTGCGGGGGAAGCAGGACTTTGAAGGATGGACAGAGAAAGGCATTCCAAGTCCAGGAGAGAGCGTCCTCAGTGTTGATTCATAAGGGAGCTAGCTGGCCAGGAGGATCCTCTGATGGGAATGTGGTGGGTTCCAGAAGCAAGTCCCGATAGTGAAGATTAGAGACCGTGAAAGCCTGGAGCCTCCTCGAAAGGGTTTTCAATGCCGCCGGAGCAGTCTGGACTTAATTTGCTGTGTGCTGGGGACCTGCGAAAGGTTTTGGAGCACAAGAGCAGAGCTGAAGATGAAGAGAAGAATGATGTGCAGTTTAGAGCGGGCACACCAAGAACAAGCGAAGAGGCTGCCGCCACACCCCATACTGTGGAATAAGGGGGGCCTGGGAAGGGAAATGCAAGGCAGCTGGGGAGCCACACCAGGAAGGGGGTGGCCATGGGGGTCGTGAGGCCACAACAGCCATGCTTGATTGGTGGCCAACACCATTTCATTTCAGTCGAACGGCCCTGCAAGGGACGCGTTAGCCCGTCTCCAAGATGCAGTTAGAGCAGGCGGGACGGATCCCTGCTGCGGGTCATGGCATAGCTGGCCCCTTTTGTCCACAGCCCACCGCGACACGGTGCAGAGCCCCAGGTTACGAGCGCGTCTGGCGGCCGTGGGGTGCCTCTGCTCAGGGCCACCCCCGGCCCCTACCAGCTTCCGTGACTCTGCTCCATTCCCACCGAGCCATTCAGGAATTCCCACACTGAGTTCACGGACTCCGAGGGGGCAAAATGTGGTTCTGTATCGACATTCGCTGCCCACACTCGAAGGCAGTGACTGCCTCATTCAGCAAGTTACTGAAGCTCACCAGCCCTGACATCCTCAACTGTAAAATAAATCCAGCTCCCAGGGTTCTTGTGAAGACTAGAGATCATGGACATGAAGCACCTGCTATACAAATGTTAGGAACCCCACACATGGGAGCCATCATTACTGTGTTCTCCAGTCCCACAGAGCAGCATCTGGTTGACTTTCTTTCCCTCATGCCTGTGGTGATGGCCACTAGAAAAGGAAATCGTTCACTTCAGGATGACAGTTCAGACTTGCTCAGTGAGAGGTTCCCAAGCCTGGCAGCACATCAGGATCAGCTGAGGAGGAATTTAAACCACAACACCCCTAGGCTCTACCTGGACATAGGGGACCAGACTGTAGAGGAGGTGGGGGATAGGCCCCAGCCCGTAATTTTATTTATTTATTCATTTATTCATTCATTCATTCATTCATTTGAGGGAGAGAGAGCGCATGAGTGGGAGGAGGGCAGAGGCAGAAGGAGAGGGAGAAGCAGACTGGACATGGGGCTTGATCCCAGGACCCCGAGATCATGACCTGAGCTGAAGGCAGACGCCTAACTGACTGAGCCACCCGGGCACCCCCCCCACCCCCCCCTGCACCACCACCACCATCCCCCCTGCCCTGTCTGTAATTTTGAGCCTCTCAGAGTGAATCAGTTGCTTTATCAGGGTTGAGACTTCTGTTCTGAAGCCTCATCACTCTCCAGGAGCCAGGTCAGATCTCTCCTTTTGTGGAGGCCTCCCTGCCACGTCACCCATGGAAAGATCCCCCAGAACATGAGCTGTCCACACAGCACATTTGTCCCTGCTTTGTCTGGTTTCATGTTCAAATATAAACAGATATCAGCCTATCTTCCAAGGTAAACTGAAACCAGATAGGAGGAGGGGTAGTTCTTAAACTTCCTCATTCTTATAGCCCAGGTTTGTGCCTCATTCAGGTATTAGGCTCTTAATACATTGTAGAAGGTTCTAGAACTTTTAAGAAGGTACTTTGAGAAATTCTAGAGTGGAGGTCATACTTTGGAGCCCCTGAGTACACTTTACACTGGCTCTTCGGGTCGGGTGTGAGAGGAGCAATAAAGGAAACACCTGGACAGAAGAAAATGCTCTTGAGGTAAGTGTATTTCCAGAGTCCAAGGACAGAGCCACCTCTCACCTCACCTGAAGACTGAAAACTGCTCCAAAGACACCAAAGCCAAGGGCTCAATAAGGCACATGGGAATAAAGTCCCAGGACAAGGAATCTTCAACTTCCCAGGGAACAGAAACGTATCTTCCTACTTACAGTTCTCCTGAGAACAAAATGACCTCATGCCATTTTCAGTGCTTACACAAGCAGCAGCCAGGACCATAAGATTAATACAAAATGAAAGGGGCTGGAGTCTCAAATGAGCCACAAAATGAGGGTCAGTGAATCTCTTTGGCCTCTTGTGCCTCCACTTATGATTTCCCTTAGAAATAATAAACTAGGACCCTGGTGCTGTGAGGGGACCATTACTCTGACTTCTGACTTGTGAGATAGTCATCTCACAAGTACACAGCCCTCGCCTGTAGGAAATGCCTCTTCCTGTCCAGCCCAAAGCTGCCAACCTACAGCCTGGCCCCTTTGCTGCCTGCCATCAGCCCTAGGGGTGAGACACTATCCTTTGCAAAATTAATCTTCACAGACTTTAAGTCATTGTGAAGTAGTCCATCAGCTTACTCCCACCCCAAGAATAAACTACAGTGCTTCTCAGCTCTCTGCTCATTAGAATCAACCAAGAAATTTGTATTTTTTAGAAGTTCCCCCAGGAGATTCCACTGTGCCCTGAGGGCGAAGAGCCTCTGATATAGTAGGTGTGTGCCACCTGTGCTGAGACTCCCCTAAAAACCAGGTCACAAGGACACACTGCCTCCTTCACTAGCATCTTCTTTGTCTCGTGCCCAAATTCTAGGTCATGAGGAGAAGCCACAGGCAGGTTTTTCTACAGGGTGCTTTCCAGAGATTTTTGCAAACTGCATCTTACATTCTATGATTGCATTATATGGCTGGAGAATTTTTGTGGCTTTCCTCTGAACAGGTCCCCAAATAGTCACATCCCCCTTCAGACAGGGATCCAAATACATGACCTAAGGTCCTGCAACAATGGCGAACTCTCTCTCTTAGACACAAGAAGCTTTTCTTCTCTTTGGCTCTATTAAGAGCAGATATTATATACATCTAGAAAATTTTTCTTAGCACTGTAGGAAAATCTGTACTTTGTAATCTCATTGTGGGATTTAATCCACTTGTCCACCCACAGAAAATCCAGCTGATTCTTGTCCTAAATTCTGAACAATGCATAGCAATGGGGCTAATTTCCTTCAAGCTCCAAGCCCAGAACAAGCAAGGGAAAGAACTTCTTTCCCCACTGCCTTTGTAGACTCTCCCAGATCCGCCCTTCCAACTAGGAAGTTACCCATGAGGCGGGATGTCTTCTTCCCAATAGTCCCAAACTGAGCTTGGAGCCTGCTTGAGATTCTCTCCTTCCCTCTCCCTCTGCCCCTCCCCCGGCTGCTTGTGGGTACACATGTGCTCGCTCTCAATAAATAAATAAATACATCTTTAAAAAAAATAAAATACACTTCAACTTATTCTATGTAACCAAAGAGAATGATTAACACCTTAAATGGAGATTTTTTTCTCCTTTTAAATGTTTCCTGTTCAAATATCTGAATGCCCTCCAAGTGCTCACCTTCTCCTTCATGCCATTCTGTCACTCCCAATAGCTTTTCCTATTTGGCGACCTACAAGGCTAAGTCACGAGGAAGTCTAGGCTATCAGTGTACAGCTGGCTGACAAGGAAGTAATTAGAATACGAAAGAGCCATCTCTCCTGGGTAGGTACTAAACAATTATAAAATACTGATGCCCTCCATGTATGCGCCATGTTCTTCTACTCATCCGTTTTCAGCAAGGCATTCCCAGGCCTCCTAGAGAAGCCCGGTTAACCTCATTACATGACGATTTGACTACAGACGTTAGCACTGTGACTCAGGGCACACCTTTTAGTGGTAAAACTGTCACCAAAACTCCTATCTCTGGATTCAGTCCCAGGAGTCGTTGGTACATCCTGGGTCTACCTAACATGACGCAAGTATTGCGCTCTCCATTCCTAGACCCTGGCTTGGAGGACTGACACAGCAAGCCCACAGCTGTGGCCACTGCACAGAGAACAGACCATCTTCATCCAACCTTCATTCTTCTGTGGTGTTCATCTTTTTTTTTTTTTTCCTGTGGTGTTCATCTTTCGCTCAAACATAGAAAGTCCCAAATCACCCTCCAGGGTACCTATAGGTCCTTAGAAAAGCAGACTTTACAGTGTTTCCAGGGTTCGATGTCGAAGCAAAGGCAAAGCTTTCCCCTTCTGATGTCCTTGCTTATCCCTTAAATCAACAGGCGAAGAGTCAAAGAGGTGGGAATGGAGAAGTGGGACCTCGAAAGATCAGGTTGAAGCTATATATATGGGGAGCTCCAAGCACCCTGTAAACCTCCAGCCAATCCTAGGGGTTAATCAGAAGGCAGATGGCTGTGAATTCCAAGTCTCTGCTGTTTTACAAGCATTTGATGAGAATGGATAAACTTCCCATCACTGCCAGGGCTAGATCAGAAAAGAGCTCAGCCTAAGCACCTCCATGATTTGCTGTAGAGACTGAGAGGAGGGAAAGCAAATGAGGCATAGTCTAGTTCTTTGGGACAAAAACTTTGACATTACTTCCCATCAACTGAGCAGGGCGAGTTCACGCGCCTCTCCCGGTCTCTTTTCCTGCCAAATCAAATGGCCAGATCAGTAAAGGACAGAAAGTGTGTGTCTGGGGGATGTGTAGCGGGATAGGGGATGATGGGCAGTGGGTGAGGGCTAGGGGGAGGGCTAGGGGGAGGGTGGAAGCAGCAAGGCAGTAAAGCTAAGGCAAGGAGATTCTGAAGAGCGAGCGAAGACTCCATCTATCACTCTAGTTCTTTCTCCCGCTTGAAAAAGAAAAAACTTAGTTACATTGCTTTTTAAAACCACCTCTATCCCTGGGGATTCTCTCTGAAGAGAGGGGCCCGCACACCTGCACGGTAGGGTTCCACAGGTTGCGTGGGGGTCAGGGGGATTGGAGGGGTGGCAGGGGCCCTGGCTGGCTCAGGCGGAAGCGCACTCCCGCGTGCGCGCCATTCAGAAGATTCCAGGGCGCACCAGCGCTCCCCGTCTGAGACGTCCGGACGGTTGGCTGGAACCCCGCAACTTTGAGGGTGCTAGGCCCGGGTCCTGGCCGGAGGGCGCCGGGACACCGCCCGCAGCGCCAAGCAGGCCTTACCTGGGCTGGGCAGGGTTCCTCGACCGAAAGAGGGATCACCTGGACGGTTCCATTGAGAGGCTTCTGCTCGTCCGGCTGCCCCCCGAGCGCCAAGAGCTCCAGGTCTTCCCCCGGCGATGGGGATCTGACCCCTTCCATGGACGGGCAGAGGAGTGCTGAGCCGCCCTAGGGAAGCAGGGCGCTCACACTCCAGGGTGCGGAGTCCAGAGTGGCCTGCCGACAGCTCGCACTCCGCCCCCCGCGGGCGGGGCGGGGCGGGGCGGCGCTGAGGAGGCGCCCCAGGCCCCTGCGGGGTAGAACCGCCGCGCCTCCTGTGGGCTCGGGAGCCGAGCAGAGGAGGGCTGTTTTTCTGGTTTGTTCAGGGAGCTGCCGGCTCAGCCTTTCCCAGTTCGCGCAGATCCAAAGCAGAAGCTGAGCCAAGGGCCCGGCCAGGTGGTGGCTGTGGCCGGGATGGGGCCGGCAGCGCGGTGCCACGGAGGAAAGTTGACATTCCATCTCCAGCAGCCCTCTGCTGCCAGGGCTTGCCCCGCCTAGCAGAAGTTCATTCATTTCACCAGCGAGGAACTAGGAAGCATCCCCTGCGTGCCAGGCGTCGTGCGAGGTTCCGAGCAGATGAACGTGGATAGTACACGCGAACACATTCCTTCCCTGTACAAGTCCAGAGTCAGGCAAAGAGCCAGGATGGGGTGATGGAGGGGACGGCGGGCTCTGGGACCAGGCTGCCCAGGTTAATCCCCTTTCACACGGTTCCTACAGTGAGACGTTGGGCTTCATCTTTCCTGCCAGCTTTCTCACCTGGAAAGTTGGCCGCGTGTTAGTGCCTACAGAATGGAGCTGTTGCCAGGATTAAAAGAGTTGGTGTCAGTAAAGCAGTAGGAGCAGTGACTAACATGTAGGAAACAATCACAAACGTTTATCATCATCTGCCTTTGAGAAGAGGAGTCACAGACACCCCTCACCCCCCAAAACACACACACACACCCAACCTGAGGGAAAGGCTAGGCACTCACACACAACCCATAGTTCAGAACTTCTGGTTTGGGGAGACTGGAATTAGGTTTGCTAAGCATGGTGTGTGTTGATCCTCTCAAGCTTCTGTTCAGAGCAGGCTTGCCCCCAACACACAGGTATTGAGACCAGTTTGAGGTGCGGACAGGATGCATATAAATAGGTTTCACTTCAGAAGATGCTGGCTTGCGTCCAAAAGTCTGACATCTTCAAAGCCTACGGTTCAGACACTTCCTAAATATTGGGTTTCTAGTTGTCTCTTGCCTGGTACCAGATCATCTGAACTCTATCTGCCTGCCTTCCGGGCGCCTGGGTGATTGAGTCAGTTGAGTCTCCGACTCTTGGCTTTGGCTCAGGTCATGATCTCTTGGGGTCCTGGGATCCAGCCAGCCTCCCGCTCCGTGCTCAGCCTGGAGTCTGCTGAAGATTCTCTCCCTCTCCTTCCCCCTCTACCCCCTGTACCTCCTCGGGCTCTCTCTCTCTCTCTCTCTCTCTCTAATAAAATTCTCTCTCTCTCTAATAAATAAATAAAATCTTTTTTAAAAAAGACCTGGAGCCTTCAAAGAGGGCCCTCCTGACAGGATCTATAGTGACAAACGAGGTGCAGCCATTGCCAGGACTGCAGCCCAGCAAGGAGGAAACAGACATGAATAAATACTCTGACCTCTGTCCCCACCTGCCACTCTCCTTTCCATGACTCCCATTGGGAACTGGTGACAGAGTTGGGGGTCAGCCTCCTAGAGCTCACAGAAGAAAATGAATATGAGGTGCAAAAAGAAAGGGAGCCTGCACCTTTCTGTACCTTTCCTTACAATAACTGACATCTTGTCTTCCTTCTCAGACATTCAATAATCAGGACACCCTTCTTGTCTGATCAGATTCCTCTTCCGGGCTGGCCCTCACCTGTCCCATTCTATTGCCACCCCCCCCCTTCTTTGTATATGATGTTCCCTCTGCTTACAATGTTTTTCCTACCCACTTTCTGCATGGACCATTCCCATTCATCTTTGGCTTCTAACTGAGACTTACTTTTTCTACGAAAGCTTCCCTGGCTTGCCTCCTCCACCAGAAGTTATCTACACTCTTCTCTGCAACCAATACACATTGTACCTATGCTAAATGCATCATATTCAGTCCAATTTAATTCAACAAATACTACTGAGTGCTTGCTATGTGTCAAACATTCTTCTGGGTGCTTGGGATAAGTCTGAAGAGATAGTTAAATTAAAACAAAATCACGGCCATTGTGAGGCTTATATTTAATGAGGGGAATCAAACAACATTTCTAGAATATTTGAAATGCCTTGTGCTATGGAAAAAAATAAAGCAGAGGAAGGGAGGCTGGAGTGTCTTGTGGTGAAGATTAGGGGGAAGAGGAGGTACAGTGATAAATAGGGCAATCACCTCAGGCCCCATTGAGAAGGTGGTATGGGGATGCAATGTTCAGCATGGCGACTGTAGTTTAGAATATGTGTTGCAGATTTGAAAGTTGCTCAGAGAGTAGATCTTAAAAGTTCTCATCAGGAGGAAAAAAGCCTGTAACTATGTGTGGGGATGGACATTAACTAGATTTATTGTGGTGATCATTTACACAAATATCGAATCGTTACGTTGTACACCTGAAACTAACATCATGTTAAATGCCAATTATTCCTTCGGTTTTTTCATACGAAATTGGAAACAAAAAGTTAAAGGTGGTAAGGACAGTAGCTGCACTGTGTGGAAGGAAGAGGGGCGTTCAGGAATAAGGACTGTAAACTGGGACCTGTTTTATTTTTACTGTCTGAGAATCAGTAAAGTGGCCCGAATGGTTAACAGGAAGGATGAGCAGTAATTTTTTGTCTCATCTGTCTCCTCTACTGTTTAAGCTCCCTGAAGTACCTGTGAATTCCCAGTGCTTAGCTCTGTGTCAAGCACGGTGCCCTATATAAATGTTGGGTAATTGGAATGATAGAATGATATTCTCAGCACTGATGGTTTGGTAGACCCAGGGCCTGAGACCCCCACTTGAATCACCAAGACCTCTCAAACCTGGACCCCCATCCTTACCCAGGCCCAGACAACCTTTCCCACAGTTCCCTCATTTGACTGCAAGAGCTTAGTTTCAATGGGAGATTCCCTCCCTGTGTTGGATGAATTGTAGCTGTCTTCCGAGCCCGGTTTCTCTTTGAATAGATGCTTAAAATTTCCTTCACCCTCCAGAGGATCAAAAAGCTACTGTTTACTGTCACAAACACACTCTAAACCAGATCTCCTAATGCTTTCTGAGTGGTGGGAAGCAGGGTTTATGTAATCTCTAAACTAGATTAGGATGCATTTCTATAATTCCATAAACCTAATCCTTGCATACAGTTGGCATCTCTATGGTAATATAGGTCTTGAGGACAAACAGATTTAAGACTCGCACTACTGTGTGCTCTTGGGCAAATTGTTCAATATCTATCAGCTGCTGCTGCTTCTTCTTGAGAGAGAGAATGTGCACCCAAGTGGGGTGCGGTGGGAGCAAGAGAGAGAGGAGAGAGAGAATCTTAATTCTTGATGTGGGGCTTGATCTCACCACCTGAACTCACGACCTGAGCTGAAACCGAGGGGTGGAAGCTTAACCAATTGAGCCCCCCAGGCTCCCCAAGCTTCTGTCCTCATTATAAAATGATTCCTACCCAGTAAAGACAATTAAATGAAGTAATTAGAATAAAGCATTTATTCCTGTACCTGACAAATAGCAGGGTCTCAGTAAATATTCCCTTACTTTCTGTGACTGTAATGATCTTTGTAAGTAATCCCCACCCACTTCCAACCCTTAGCAGCCAGCAATTAATCCTTGACTCAATAGATTTTCTTTTGATATTGATTTGTGTTCCTGTCCTGTTGCATTTTTTTGATCACTGACACTTGCTGACACCTCCCAATACTACCTGAACTATTTAAAGTCTTACTTGCAACTTGTTCCTGATTTCTGATAACTGCAAATTTCTTAATCTCCAGAGAGCTGATCTAGAATGTAGATAAGTGTCCTAATCTCTTCTTGAGGACTTTTTCATCCTGCCAGTCAGTCTGACTCTAAACTGAGGATTCAGAATGAGTAAGAAAAAAATGTTTCTCCCTTGAGGTAGAACCAAAACTAGATTAAACAATTCTTGATGGCAGTTGAAGATTTTTGGATGAGAAACCAAATTCTATATAGGTTTGTTTTTGCCATTTCTTTAAAATCTCTATAGGGGTAGCTTTTTAAAGGGGATTGTTCTTTCATAAAGCTATTCAAACATGTTTTTTAACGTATACTATTCTTGCACAAATAGTTCTTTTTAATATAATTTCGAATTATTATTGACTCAATTGCTTTAGTTTGCTTAAGGATTAAAATGTAAATAAGGGTAAAAAATTAAAATCTACTTGTTGCCAAGGCTTGCTGACCAGTAGAAGATTTTCAATTTTGTTTTTCTTGTCATAGAACTTGCTCTTTTTCTTCATCTCTCTTTTGAGAGCAAATAATTTTCCAAATGATTATTTTATAAACTGAAAAATAAAGTAACACCATCTAAGTGACATCACCAAAGCACCAAAGCATCTCATTACCTTCAAACAGGCCTGCACCTCTTGAAAGCACAATATATATCCATATGTTGTCAGGTGACAAGCACTACTACTGCGAACATAGGCAATTGGGTCAGCCTCTCAGACCAATCAAGCAGAAAACAATTGGAAAAAGGTTGGTTTGTGAGGTTGCAGTTTGCAGATTTGAAGACACTGCGAAGGAGGGCAAGTGTCCCCAGTAGTCTGGCCCATAGAAGTGCTCCTGTCTTGGTTTATGGAGACCATTCCTCTCTGCCAACTAATCCAATCTTTGGATCTGCCTCTATTCACACTTTTGCAAGAATAAAGTATATTAAAGAATAAAGAAATAAAGTTCCATGTCATCCTGGCATGTTGGCATAAAATAGCCAAGTAAGTTAGGTTGGTGTTTCTGAACCTTCTCCCCACCCCTGCACTGCTGAAGAACATGGTACAATCACATTTGAGCAAGCAAGCGCATTGAGTGGTAGCATGTATGTGTGGTTTGAAAAATTCCCTGTGTTAGGGGCACCTGGGTGGCTCAGTTGTTAAACATCTGCCTTCGGCTCAGGTCATGA